GGGGGAAAGGGGGGGGGGGGGGGGCGTCTCCTAGTCCCTTCTTCCATTCTGTCTTCATTCGCCATCAGAAAAATTGATAGTTTAAAGCTTATCATCAGAGATTTCCCTTCCTAATTTTCCTGTTCAATTTTCTTTTTTCTTCTTGTTTCTTGTTTCTACGCTTTGAGGCCTCTTCAAAGAGTTCTTGTGACACCAAGTTGTGGAGCAGGTAGAAAGAGATAAGGAGGTTTGGAGTAGGAAGGGTATGAGGGATGTCAAAGTCTTTCTGACTTAAGCGGAATTAAGGACCCATTACTGCACTTCTTATGAAAAATGGGGAGTTGTAAGCATTAATGGCGAAGGTGAAGCAGTCCAGTCCTCACAGGTGGCTGAGTAAAAAACCGGTATCCTTGTGCATGGATTGTATATCTATCAGGGGTTATACTTTTGTGTTCCTTATTTCAGCTGAGATGTTGATATGAACAAAGCTAAAGATTGAATTCTTGTTTACTATTTAAATCCTATGTTTTGCTACTCTCCTGTAATTTATGTCATGGACAACTAAATGCAGCACTCCTCCAAACTGGGCAGCCGGGAGCTGCTATGAAAGAGGTACGTACCCCTCCAAGAGTGGTAAGCAACTGTCTTATCAACATGTAATTTCTGTGTTATATTTGATTTGGACCAACTTATTTATAACATTTTGATTTTTTACCTTTTTATCCTGCTCACATCTGGTTTCTAGATCCTTCATCTGCTGAGCCTAGAATAGAGGTAGGATTCAGTCTTCTCCTTCGTTTTTAAATGGACGAGACTTAGTTTCTTATGTCAACCTTCCAAAATGAGACTTGATTTTTTGTGTGAGTTTTTTGGAGACCAAAAAAATACTATTGGGACAAACAATTAGCTAAATTGAGAACAGATATGTATTGTCCAAATGGGGACTATAGCATGAAACAGTGATTGGCGATTATACCAATACAATGAAGACGACTTTTCCAGTTAGGTTTTTGATTTTTAACAAGCTTTTTTCAAATTACAAGCATACAGGTAAACATTAAAAGAATCTGTTGATTGACAGTTTCACTTTGTTTCCATTTTTAGTGTATCCAAGCTGTTTATAAACCTGGTAGACATCAAATTAGAATTCTAATGTCGTCTTTGTTGAATTGATATATACAACAAAAACTGTTGCACACATTTAAAGGACAATTTTTAACCTGAGTCGTTTCCATAATTTTCCTCAAAACTTCTTGCTGCGCTACCAGGTGTGCTCTACATATATCCCAGTCTTCCTTCCTAAACAGACCATTTTTCTATAGCAATATTTCTATTATTTTATTCACAATAGTTCCCTTTAAACCTTTCCCGACAACCATGAGTTAAATACTCTCATTCATATAGGTGAAGAAGAGTTCCGGGAGATTTGAGGTTACACTGTACACTGTACAATGTACACGTGCTCTCTGAGCTAGTGTACACTCGCGCAGTTTCTTGGCACTTAATTTTCCGCTATATAAATAAGAATATCTACGAAATCCTTGGTCAAACAAAGGTTTAAAGGGTATCATTATAAATCGGACATGCCACTCTTTACATGGAAGGTCACTTGAAATTATGCTTACAGTTCCTTTAAATCACAAATCTATTTTAATAAAATTATACTTTTCCATGTTTTAATTTATCTACAAAGCATGATATTTAACAGATAATCATATTGTATCTTGGGATTGTTTGTGTTGATCAATTGAGCACCAATTAATTGACACTTTGTCGAATGAAAGCTGGGAGAATGTCACTAATAAGCTGTAACAATTTGACAGAAATCAAATGCAGGGTTTATGAACTAGTAAAGGGTACCAACTTGAGGTCACCTACAGCTGCACTATTGTTTAATTATTTAGAACATCTTTTTAAAGATGTAATTTAAAAATTTAACATTTCAATCGTCATGTTTGGACGTTTTTAGGTCGTCTTTATTTATTTCTACATGTATTTTTAACTAAGAACCTCATTTCGAGCTAGCTGACGCGTATGTCGAGAGGCTTAGAAGATTATGTATGCCGTATATCATAAGAATACTGAATAGTAGAGAAACATGAATGTTTTATTTACCAATATGACCAATTTCATATGTATATCTTGTTTTAATTATGGATGTTAATCCTTGGATTTTTATCTTAAAAGCTCTATTTATTTATTTATTTAACCCGTTACATGATTAGTTTACCTATTTATTTATTTATTTAACCCGTTACATGATTAGTTTACCTATTTATTTATTTATTGAACCCGTTACATGATTAGTTTACCTATTTATTTATTTATTTAACCCGTTACATGATAGTTTACCTATGCCTTTCCTGCATTTCAGTCCATTGATCCATTTGATCCAAGACGACCTCCCTTTAGCAAGAAAATTTGTCAAGAATAATTACAAAAAGATAATTTAATGGTACAATGGTCGGCCTTTATATTAATACCATGAAGACGACAAGCTTTTTCAATTACAAGTTTACAAGTAAACAAAGAGAAGCTGATAATTGACAGCTTCTCTTTGTTTCCATGATTATGGTATCGATGTTGTATCCAAGTTTGGTAGAACTCAAAAATGGAAATCAAAAGTCGTCTTCATTGTATTGATATATACGACGACGGCTTAGAATAAATGTAGACAAAGATAAAATTAAAACTTATGTAAATATAGAATATCAGCACATGCAGTGAGACCCATAAAACTATGGAACAATCTTATATATTTTATGTTATTTTAGAGAAGAATGGTTAACCAGCAGGTTGAAAATACACTTATTATTTGAAATGGGTCTGTGTACACTGCACAATTGCTGTGCTTCTTGTTAATTGAGACTAACAAACGTCTAATTTCCCATTTTTATGAGTTCCACTGTAGAAAACAATTGTTATTTTCTTTAAAATACGAAGTTATAAAAGGGGTTGGTAAACTTTTCAAAGGGGAGGGGGGGATCTTTTATGTTCTTTTTATTCTTGATAAAAGCATACAAGTTTAGACATTCGATTTCAAATATGCAACTGGGGTAGAAATATTGTTAAAATGAAAAAAGAAAAAAAAGACATAAAACAAATAAAATGACATTTACTTTTTTTTACAAAGAATAAATTTTCTTCAGAAATATGACAAAAAAATTTCAAATCTTAAACATAAATATATACCTGACGCTGTTATCCACCTTCAACTCCTGTTCCCCAGTCTTTCCTTTATGTTTACAGAGCTTGTCGATAGCAATGCATTGACTCTTCTGGATCATTGATTTCTCCTGAATCAATTAATCAATTAGAGCAGAGTTAAGATCGTCTTCCTTATCAAGGAAGAAATCCACGAACAGCCCATGATAAAAACTCTCACAACAGAAATTTGACCAGAGCTGAAAACTTTAGAATTGGATATTCTTAATCCCGATTTGTTTATTAATCTGGAGATTAATAGCAAGAGGAGTACAAGCTATATTTAATCTGGAGATTAATGGAAAGAGGAGATCATGCAATGATATCAATATCCCCCATAATAAAGTTTTCAGCTCAGAGCTTATAACTTTAAAATTGTGGATATTGAGAACAATGCTTGATCTCCTCTTTTTATTAATTTCAAGATTAATTTAATCTTCAGTTTGTATTCTGAAAAGTCTGTTAATTTCACCAATAAAGTGGCATATGCAGATCCCGAACATCCAATCAGAAGCCGGGAAATTCGAAATTTTACGCGCTATTTAATGCGAGAGCTCTAATTTGTTGGAATCTGGTAGGGCCATACAAGAAGTAGAGAAAAAAAATCAAATTAAGCAGGATATTCAAAGTGTCCACATTGGATATCCAGATGAATCAATCGAGATTACACTATGATCTTGTCAGGGTATATTGGTTACATCAAAGGTGCTGGGTCGACTCTACACTGGGTAGCCTGACTGAACAGTACGACTGAATGCATACGTGTTATACCGGCACGGATCTTGCATATTTTTGACAGGGGTGATTAGGGGTACACAATTTTAAATTTACCAGCTGAGAAGTATTCAATATTCGACTCATATATGAACTAAATTTATAAATGAGACCTGTGTAAACATCTATGCAATTGTAAAAGCAGCTCTAAACACTTTTTTTCAGATGAAAGGCCCAGCAAATATTTTGTAATTTGCAATTCTTTCACGACTAATATAACTCCAAAAAGTGTAGGGAGGGATATTAAGAAAAAATAATTTTAAGTTGAATATTAAAAAATCTTTAAACGACGTAATAATGTTTTTTTTAAGTGCGGCGATACATCCACACTTTTTTCAACACCGCTGTAATAAATAAAAAATTGTTCAATTTTCCACGGCTTTGAAGTGAGATTAATTCACCTTGGTGTGACGTTTTCTTATGGTTTCTACCTCCTTCTGGTGCTTCTTGATAATCTAAAAATAGAAACAAATTTAGGAGAAAAATATTTTGTTGTGTCGCTGTGTCGCATAAGATGAATTTTTAATAAAAAGATTATGAGCTCTTAGAATGTGATGAAAATAGATTAATTTTATATAGTATATAGTACAGACTTGAACTTTTGAAGGATTTGAGTCTTTGTCACAAACTCAAAATTTCTTTTTCGTTAATTTTAAAACCTAACGGTGAAAACCTTTGAAATTTCAAATTTAGATTATAGTTCTAACAGAATACACAGCCTGAAATATTTAAGGTCTGCATCATTGGTTTGCTAAGATTAGGTTTTATAAAATCAAAGTTTGTTACAAAGATTAAATTGCAAATTTTACGTTTATGGTTTGATATTTAAAAATCTTTAATTATCTTTATTTTTAAAACTAATTTTTAAAAGTTGCTGAAAGACTCTATTCCATCATTATTCAGATCTAAAAATAATTTTTTTAGAATAATTACTTTATTTTTTTGGGAAATGGCAATTTTATTTTTTACATTTAATAAAACCAACATTTTACAAATAGATACGTTTTGTAAGTTCTCCAAATATAGAGCATTTTATTTAATTTGATTTGAAAAAATTAGATATTTTATTATCTTTGAAACCTTGCAAAAATTTAAAAATCCTGAATGGTTTACATATTTTTAAATTGCACAGACAACACACAATTGAAGATGATCAATTTAAAAAAAGAAAAGCACAAGCATTTTCAACACTCTTATGCTTATCGTTGTGATTTGAGCTTACAGCTCATCAATTTCATATGTAGTCCCTTTAATTAATGGCAAACCTTTATATAACTTTTGTCCAGTTTGAGGGACTCAACTGTAACCGGGGCAAACTCCTCCCGACCGGTGTCATCTCGCCGGGGAACAGAAGTTGCAGAAAATGTTGGAAGTTTTTTAGCAACACCCTACAGTCATTTTGAAATTGGTAAAATGTATAGTAACAATTTATAAATTATCTGAAATGAACAAATAGAAAAAATATCCTGGATCATGTTTTTTAATAAAAAAAATCTTAAAATAAATGATTTGGTTTAAATCCGTGTCTATTCCATGCTTGTACAAGTTTTTTAATCAATGCACTAAAGACAGTAAAGTGCAAGGAAATAAGTAAAAGAAAAATAATTTTCAAATGCAAACATGTTAAAACCTTTCAAAAAAATGAATGTAAAAGTCATCTGACATTTTAATAATCAATTTAGAGATTTGTTCGCTTTTGAATTTAGGAATCGACAATAAATAAATTAAAAACTGATAAAAACCATGAAGTACTTTTTAAAGATTTAAAATAACTATTTTTGTTTTGCTCTTAGCCTTAACTTTTTCGATCCGATAAAGCAAATTTTATTTTAATAATACATCTTTATTTTTGACGTTTTTTTGTAGATCTTTTTCTCAAAGGCTTTTATTATAGAGAATAGAATACATATTAGAGGGGAATTTAAAGATTCTCTCGGTATGAATTTTTTCAGTCCCTTTCAGTCTGAAAGGGAGTTCAAAGTGTACAAATCATGTAAATGTTCACAAATTATATGCAGTAGAGTACATTAATACAGTATGTTCCCTAGACTATCCATTTCAATTTCGAATTTCTTAAACTGTTAAATAAACTTTATAATGAATTAGGTGAATAAAAAACATCATTTGATTTATAGTTTTAACGGAAAATCATCGTTTGTAAAGTGGAAGGCGTAGAGTCTATGTAAAATGATCATTGGTCAATTATGAAACCAGCCTATTTCATAATTTGGTTTTCTGTTAACCTTAATTTTAGATTTTCTATAAAATGATGTTCCAGGGCCCAAAAGGTTATATAGCATAAATATGTGAAGTACACCTGCAGTATGGAAACAGTACAACAAAATGGCCGTTTTACACTTTTTTCTAGTAAACTCCCCTGTAATATAAATTCTATTCTCTATGGTTTTTATATATTTATTAGTAAACTCATATTTATATCTCTGGAATTAAATTCAATTACCTCAATGATATCTTTACCGATATCAGCTTCTTGAATACCAAGCGCTTTCAACTGTTCTGCGCGCTTCTCCTGTGCCGACAAGAAAGCCCGTGGATCTGAGAGCGCATCCATAAACTCTCCAAGTCCATCAGGAATATAAATCTTTAGTTCTATGTTACAGAACAGCATCGGCAGCGACATCGGGAAATTTCCCTCGGTCCTTTTTAGAACAATCGTGTTTTTCATTTAAAATTATTTGTGATTTTTATTTTTCCGGCCCTTTAGTTTTATCCTTTGACCTATCCGGACTGAGCTATTTTTGTCAAATGGAGAGGGGGGGGGGCGGAAAAAATTGAAAAATATTTATTTTTTCCTTTGAAAAATAATAATATTATATAATAAAAAACGATAGACTATTTTGGCTTTTGGAAACACCGACTGTTAGATTCACCATCATCCACTCTACTCTATACATCCACGTTAAATTTTAAGAAGTGAATAAGCTTGAGTGTGCCAGTGCGTGTAAGCGTTTTTTAAGTACTGAAAAAAGGTAAGGATTGGCGAGTGGTGTTGAAACCCTCATTGTGATAGATTAAGCAATATTCTGTTTAAAACATTAAAAATTAGAACATATCTCCTCAGGTTGACTGTACACAAACCTTTTTTTAGTGAACTGTTTGGCTGAATATAAATATAGAAAAAAGTGAGACCATTTATTTTCAAAATTGATTTCTGCTTTGTGATTAAACCAGGTATTAGATTTAATAAATAGAGAGACATGGTTAAACTTCGTAGAAGGGGTTCAGCCAGAACTATTGTTTGGGCTCATTTAAGCCTGCCCGATTCAGCTACTTCTCGCTATTCATTAAATCTGGTCCTAGAAATGATATGATTGATTATGAATACACGTGTCAAGAATTATTGAAATTCAAATGTAATTAAAACTTATACTTATACTAATTATAATCATAATTATGGTGCTGATTAATTTATTAAACTTAGAAAGGGAATTGTGACGGTTTTAAAAATATGGTATCTGAAATATTCCCAAATAATAAAATCAAACTTCATAAATATTTTAATATCGTCGTTTTTCACTTTTAAACACCCTGCTGTGCGAGACAAACCAACTTCTTAATCCACTTTTAGAACTTAGACTTTTAGAATTTAAACTTTCATAATTTAGACTTTTAGAATTTAGACTTTTAGAATTTAGACTTTTAAAGTTTAGCTGTTAACCGAACTGCTTTTCAAGCTGTTAGTTTTTTTTGTAAATCGTATTTTGAGGATATTTCTGTTCTTACGCATTTTCAAATAAGATTGCGACATTTTTTTATTGATAAAAGTTTACATCTTTAAACCTTTCCTGGGGTCATGTCAGTTGCCACTTAAAATTTGGACTCGATCGGTTTATCAATTATCACATTTATTTGATTATACAGACAGACACGACACACAAACAGGAAGCATCAGGATTGAGAGGTTTTATGAACCTGCTTCCGGTAGGAAGTTGACACATTTCTTTTGGTAGATTACTACGCATATAGTCTCATATTGTCTCTAGAGATTCTATAGGTTCTTTTTCAGTCGTTTTTCGTTCATTTTTCATCTTATTTTGATCGTTCACTTAAATCGTTTGTTCAGAAAAAACTATCGTTTTTCAAATGTTTGTTCGAAAAGAATCGTTTGTCAAGTAAACAAAAGTACAATCGTTTTACCAATGTTCGTTCAAAATTTGTTTTCTTTAACGGTTAGGCTGATGAGAACGATCGTTCACGAAAAATTTTGTTCTTCATAAAAACGATGCTCATATCTAATTGTTTCTTTCGTTTTTAAATGTTTCTGAACAAAATGTAAAAATACTATTTCAAATTTATCTTGATTTTCATTTCAAATGTGTCTTCCTTCCCTGTGGACTAATTCCTGAATGGAAGCTGATAAAAATAGAAAATAAAATCTTGTTTTCATATTAGTTAATGGATTTTTTTCACAATTCATGTCGAACTAATGTCTGATTTACAACGGTACCCTTAAAACCTAATCTAATCAAAAATGTGGGAAAAATATTCTGACTCAAAAAGTTTATTTCTGTAAGTTTGTGAACTGTGAAACCGCAAATGAAAATAAACAGATTAGAAACAAAATCATTGATATCTAATTCGAACTTGAATAGACAAAGCTTATGACGGTATCGTTTAAATCGGACATTGCCATCTTTGCGTAGAGCGACTTCTTGTTTTTAGTTACAGTCCCTTTACATTTAAATGCAACATTTTACCAAAATATTTGAGAATACATTAATTAAGTCACCTTAGTACTGCTAGTTCAGGAAGTACAACTTTTCTAAATACAAACGGTTCCTCGTTGTAAACTGGGTTAAGCCCGTTCCCAGGAACTACTTTAGTTCGGAACTCCTTCCTGAACATACGTCATTGTTAGAAAAATTCAATTAAAATCAAATATTTTTATTTGACAAAATTAAACATTATTTAAAGAGGTTTAAATAATGAATGTTCTGCGACTGAACAACGTCAAAGCTGTAGCTGTTTTCGTAACAGCTCTCCCCTCGAGATTAAAGATAGATTTAAGTTTTCAAGAACACATGTTGAATTTGATTCTATAAACCAACATGAATGAATAATTTATGCAAAGAAAGTAAATGTTTCAAGATCATTGCATTGAAGTATTTTCCAAAATTTTAAATATTTTTAAAACTCTTTAATCATTTATCATTATTAAATGATAAAAATATGATTTTAAAGAGCCCGTATTATTTTGAAAGTACAAAACTCATTTAAATCAATGGTTTAATTGGGTTTCTGTCCTCTAGATATTAGACAAAGGTTAAATGTCCTTTAGAGATTAGACAAAGGTTAAATATTCTCTAGAGATTAGACCAAGGTTAAATATCCTCTAGAGATTAGACAAAGGTTAAATATCCTCTAGAGATTAGACAAAGGTTAAATATCCTCTAGAGATTAGACATAGGATAAATGTCCTCTAGAGATTAGACAAAAGTAAATGTCCTCTAGAGATTAGACAAAGGTTAAATGTCCTCTAGAGATTAAACAAAGGTTAAATGTCCAATAGAGATTAGACAAAGGTTAAATGTCCTCTAGATATTAGACAAAGATTAAACGTCCTCTAGATATTAGACAAAGGTTAAATGTCCTCTAGATATTAGACAAAGGTTAAATGTCCTCTAGAGATTAGAAAAAGGTTAAATGTCCTCTAGAGATTAGACAAAGATTAAATGTCCTCTAGATATTAGACAAAGGTTAAATGTCCTCTAGAGAGTAGAAAAAGGATAAATGTCCTCTAGAGATTAGACAAAAGTAAATGTCCTCTAGAGATTAGACAAAGATTAAATGTCCTCTAGATATTAGACAAAGGTTAAATGTCCTCTAGAGAGTAGAAAAAGGTTAAATGTCCTCTAGAGATTAGACAAAGGTTAAATGTCCTCTAGAGATTAGAAACAGGTTAAATGTCCCCTAGAGATTAGACAAAGGTTAAATGTCCTCTAGAGATTAGAAAAAGGTTAAATGTCTTCTAGAGATTAGAAAAAGGTTAAATGTCCTCTAGAGATTAGACAAAGGTTTAATGTCCTCTAGAGATTAGACAAAGATTAAATATCCTCTAGAGATTAGACATAGGTTAAATGTCCTCTAGAGATTAGAAAAAGGATAAATGTCCTCTTGAGATTAAACAAAATGTTAAATGTCCTCTAGAGATTAGACAAAGGTTAAATGTCCTCTAGAGATTAGAAACAGGTTAAATGTCCTCTAGAGATTAGACAAAGGTTAAATGTCCTCTAGAGATTAGAAAAAGGTTAAATGTCCTCTAGATATTAGACAAAAGTTAAATGTCCTCTAGATATTATACAAAGGTTAAATGTCCTTTAGAGATTAGACATAGGTTAAATGTCCTCTAGATATTAGACAAAGATTAAACGTCCTCTAGATATTAGACAAAGGTTAAATGTCCTCTAGATATTATACAAAGGTTAAATGTCCTTTAGAGATTAGACATAGGTTAAATGTCCTCTAGAGATTAGACAAAGGTAAATGGCCTCTAGAGATTAGACAAAGGTTAAATGTCCCCTAGAGATTAAAAAAAGGTTAAATGTCCTCTAGAGATTGTAAAAAGGTTAAATGTTCTCTATAGATAAATGTCCTGTTGGGATTAGAAAAAACCTTAGATGCCCCCTCGAACTTAGAAAAGAGTTAAATGCTATCTAGAAATTTGGGTCTATTAAAAAGTGTTCACTAAATATATACCTGATCTATATACCTGATCTATATACCTGATCTATATACCTGATCTATATACCTGATCTATATACCTGATCTATATACCTGATCTATATACCTGATCTATATACCTGATCGTATCTGTTGGTAATCCATACATGTCTACTTCAACGTAAGTCCCAACCTTTTTATCTGACAAAAACTGTCCAGAAATCACCTGAACAAATATACATTGTTTCATGTTTATTGTGTTTATATACGTGTACAGAACACTGTATATTGTGTTTGTATACCTGTACAGAACACTTTATATCGTGTTTATATACCTGTACACAACACTGTATATTGTGTTTGTATACCTGTACAGAACACTGTATATTGTGTTTGTATACCTGTACAGAACACTGTATATTGTGTTTGTATACCTGTACAGAACACTGTATATTGTGTTTGTATACCTGTACAGAACACTGTATATTGTGTTTGTATACCTGTACAGAACACTGTATATTGTGTTTGTATACCTGTACAGAACACTGTATATTGTGTTTGTATACCTGTACAGAACACTGTATATTGTGTTTATATACCTGTACAGAATACTGTATATTGTGTTTGTATATCTGTACAGAACACTGTATACTGTGTTTGTATAACTGTACAAAACACTGTATGTTGTGTTTTTTTACCTGTACAAAACACTGTAAAACGTGTTTATATACCTGTACAGAACATTGTATATTGTGTTTGTTTAATGTTTATTGTGTTTGTATAATGTATATTGTGTTTGTAAACCTGTATGGAACATTGTATATTGTGTTTGTATACCTGTACAGAACATTACATATTGTGTTTTTGTTTAATGTATATTGTGTTTGAATAATGTATATTGTGTTTGTACATCTTTATAAAACATTGTATATTGTGTTTGTATACCTGTATAGAACATTGCATATTGTGTTTGTATAATGTATATTGTGTTTGTATACCTGTATAGAATATTGTATATTGTGTTTGTATAATGTATATTGTGTTTGTATACCTGTACAGAACATTGTATATTGTGTTTGTATACCTGTACAGAACATTGTGCAGCAATGACCCCATCTACAGGGGTTTCAGCAAACGGATCGAACTGTTTGTCTTCTCTGATTAAAATCGAAATAATTTAAATTTCTTAAACTATCTGTAAACATAAATTCAAGTGGAGAGACTGACATGTCCGATTGACAACTGCAACCTTTAAAACTCTGTTTGATTAACAATTGATATTATATTGTCGTTTTTTTATATTAAACGTTTTAAATTATATTAATTTTCTTCATTGTCCTGTGTTCCTGCAGTATACATCTTCAATTGATTTTATTATAAGCCACATTTGTAATTACTAATAATAAGATATCTCATTCATCTATGATCAAAGGTTTAAAGGGAACCGTTTGGAATTGGTCATGCCAATGAAAAATTTGAGTCAATTACAAAAAGTTTCCAAAGTAATATTAAAATACCAAAAATTGGATTTATTTCTTTATCAATCTTCTTAAATCCTAATATAGTTGCTACAAGCCAGTATATTTTATTTAAAAATATTTTAAGTTTAAGAAAAAATTAGTATTCTTTAATTATTTCCTTCTCATAAAGTCTGGTTTCAGTAGATATCCGCAGTTTCCATTGTATTCAAATTTCCCCTAAAAATTGACAAATAAAATTAAATAATATGAAGAAATCAGATTAGCTACAGGTTTACACAAAAAGTATCAGACTAAAAAGACAACCAAAAGCTCTTTTGATTTGACCGTGTGTATGTTCAATATAGATTTTAATGGTTTACTAAATAGTTTGGCTTTCAAATCCAGGGAAGCAAGAATGTATGTAAAAAAAGAATTTAATGAACTCCGAACAGTCGTCTCTGAAGTTTCATCCTTTGTGGGTTACCCTGTACATGAGTCCCAAAGGAGAATACCTATATAACCTTTTTTTACTCTCCATGTGCTTTGTGTCGGCCGGCTATAGCCTTATGTTAAGTTATAGGTAAGTTTTGTATTGTTAAAAAAAGAACGAAATCGTTTTGGATTATTTTAAGCTTACGAAATGTTAGTTTTAAACCTTGAACGAACGAAAACGCTAAGTTAATTTTACTAAATTTTTCCCTGAAAAAATTTAAATTTTGAAATATTTAATAAAAAAAAATATGTATTAAGAGAAGTTTATAAATGTACGTCATCTGTCATTTGATATTCATCCTACATGAAAGGAATCATGAAATATAATTTTACCTTCTGAAAAATATCCAATTCCCAAAATCAATTATAAATACAGAAAGAAACTTTTTTTGTACTTGAATGAATCATACATTTTTTTAACGAGTATCTATGTCAGAAATCGTAAGTAGTTTAATAAGTTAAAAGTTAAATAAAAACAATACCAAAATGATAATATTATGAATGCAGAGCTGAAAACTTTAGAATGGTGGATATCGAGATTAATGCTTGATCTCCTTTAATAGACACACTTTTGATGTTCTTCTTAAACCGTTCTTTCCTGGATATAGTAGAGAAAAATCAAAAAACCGGTTTTTCTAAATTAGCGAGTCCCTCCCGTTTCTGTATATTAACTTAAATGGCGCGCAAAATTTCAAATTTATCGGCTTCATATACCCGAATCTGATTGGTTGAATTTTATACACTTTTCAGGATACAAGTACAAGATTAGATTAGTCTCGAAATTCAGAAAAAGAGAGGAACACGCATTAATCTTGATATCTACCATTCTAAAGTTTTCAGCTCAGATTTAATTAAATTAAATCAATAATATTTAACAACTTTAACCTGGTTAAGCTGCATTGGAAGATCTGGGGTCTGAAAGTTGAGAGAAACAAGTTGACATCCTGGAATCATAAACATCAACCAGAATACTTATCAACCAGAATACTTATCAACCAGAATACTTACCAACCAGAATACTTATCTACCAGAATACTTATCTACCAGAATACTTATCAACCAGAAAACATGTCAACCAGAACACTTGTCCACCAGATTACTTTTCAACAACCAGAAAACTTAGGTTATCAACCAGAATACTTAAATTATTAACCAGAATACTTAGATTTTCAACCAACATACTTAGATTATCAACCATAATAATTAGATTATCAACAAGCATACTTAGATTATCAACCAAATACTTAGATCGTCAGCCAGAATACTTAAATTACAAACCAGAATACTTAAATTATCAACCAGAATATTTAAGTTATCAACCAGAAAACTTAAATTATAAACCAGAATACTTAAATTATAAACCAGAATACTTAACTTACCAACTAAAATACTTAGATTATCAACCAGAATATTTAGATTATCAACCAGAATACTTAATTTATCAACCAGAATGTTCTCTTAATATTTAAAAGATGTAACAATAGATCAATAAATAAATAACTCGTTGGGAAAAGTTCATAAACAAAAATGGATTGATAGAAATCTTTTTTTCATTTATGATTTTCCTGAATTCCAGAAGACTTGTGGCATAAAGTTTGAAGAGTCTGCTCTCGTTCCCTAAATTTTTTATTTTATTTGTGAAAAAGAAGTTTTTTTCATCTTCTTTTTATCTTAATGTTTTATTTTAAAATATTTCGTAATATTCAAATACAGTGATTAACCAGAAATCTGAAAAATATTAAGACGAAATATAAGCAAAAATGCAGTGTATTTCATATTGTATAAAGCAAATAGTCTTTCTAGTAAGTTATCAAATCATTTATTAAGTGAAATGGGTCTCTTTTGACTAAACAATTGCTGTAGCTAATGTTTATTAGTCTAGTAAAAGTCATGATTTTCTAAAATCGAATAATTTTTCCAGAGTTTTCTGGTTATCACTGCTATACAAATTCTGTTTTTCTAATTCCCTATAATATTCTGTTTATTAATTTTATTTTATCAAAAACGGGATTATTTTTCTCCTCTGTATAAGAAAGAAACCTTAATAATTAATAATATGTCTTTCTCTAGGATTTGCAAACAATTTTCTTCGGACAAAGTTATTGAGTCTTTGTCACAAACTCTGATTTTCTAATCCCTATATCTTTGCAACATATTGTCGTAGAGCTGAGAAATTTAAAACTTTGAACTCTGTTGGATCAGGTTGAAAAGATGAGGGAATTAGACAATTTCTGTTTGTGGCTAAGACTCAATTCCTTTAAAGTTTTCTTTAAAAAAAAATAATAGATACAGATACAGCTACAATTTGTAATTTTTTTTCTAGAGTTTAGCCACTAAGGGATATCAAAGATTGATTAAATTAATCCGTGGAATGTAGATAGAGATCAATGCTTAATCTCAAGATTGACAAGTTCACAACAAACAAGTTTTCGATAGTTGGAATAAATCAATATGAATTATGAATTGAGATGATGGGGGGAAGAACAATCTATTCCTCGTAACATGTTTTATAACCCGCTTTGGATATCTTGTATACTAAAGAAAAAAATGAATAACAAAAAAATGTTTGAGACTAAATTTTACGTTTTCTTACCTTTGGATATATTCTGCTTAGTTGACGTTTATTATACTTGAGGAACTCTACTGCCTGGGATTTAAGATAACCCAGAGCAGTGGTTTCAGCAAAAGACGACATTTTGAAAGCAAGGTTTTGTTCCTCAGCGTAGTCGAAACCCTAGGGTAATCATTGGTAAAAAGGACATTCGTATCTNTGAAGAATGGAGGGGGACGGGGGGTGTTGGATTTTCAGGATTACACAAAAAGGGGGAAGAGGTAGAGGACTTAAGTAAATTTAGATTAAGGAGAGGGGACAGGGGGTTTACCTGGTATTGAGTTGCTGGAGGAAGGGGGGACATGTCTCCTATTCCTGTTCCAGCTTAACAAAAAAAAATATAATTAATTTTTTCTTTAAGTTGAAAACATCCCCAGAGAAACTTTAAAATTTAAAATTCAAAATCGAGAATAACGCAAACCTTTTATTTGACACTTTAGTGTGGGACAAGGATTACTAACAATTTGTTGAAAGGGTTTATTCACCTATATTCACGGCCACATACTTATACATCTTTATATATATGTACATAAAATAGTATAATCTCTGTTTGTCTATTTTGATGTCCGATCATAACTCATGAACCCCTTAACTGATTCGCCTCAAATTTTGATTGGGAAACTTAGGAGAACAACTTAAACGTTAGCTTGGGTTTAAAACTATGAGTTGAGCGGGTTGTCGTTTATAGAGGGAAACCCAGGCAAATCTTGGTTACCAAGCTAGTCTACAAATAAAAAACAGTCCGGTAACGTTCAATCAAATTAGGATTTGCTGACTATTTAAAATAAATAGAAATTGCAACGACGGTAGGATCTATCTATCTATCTATCCATTTAAATCTAATAATCCAATTAGAGATTTACATGTCAAGAAGCAGCAAAGACATAACCGGATATCTTTACATACATTACAAGAAAGGCTGTAAAGCCACATAAATGAGTCTTTTAGCTTCTAAAGCAACACGCGATGGAAATTTTTAACTTTGATCATTCTGGTCATTTTTGAGCGGTTAAATAGAATTATTTGTGCTCCTTTTATAACAATTGGGGATATATTATGAATTTGAAATGTTTCAACAATCCATATTTTTAGCAAATAAGTGTATGGCACAACTAAATTGTTAGTAAATACACTTTTTAATGTTTATTTACAGGGTGTCCAACAAAATATGACAGTTGGCGAATAGTTTAAAATGCATTCTGTAAAGTCGTATTAAAATAAATTTGATTTAAGGGAAAACAATTCTTTAAAACAAAATAAACTGCAAAAAGTCTTTATTATACAGTAAATGGAAGAGACATTCAAAACTATTCCCCAACTGTCATGTTGGGGAACACTCCCTTTATTGATTTACGTAATTACTTGTAATTGTGTAAATTCCCTCTATGTATTTACCTAATTTATAAAACACTCCCTTTATTAATTTACCTGGAATCACAGCAAGAGCCGTTGCTTCATCCTTCTTCTCAAAATCTTGAACTAAAATAAATTTTACATTTTTGAAAAATATTTCATTTTATTCTTATTTATAGTTTTAATGGCAATTAACCAATTGCAACAAAATAGTACCGTTGCAATAAAATCCTGATTTATAGGCTTTTTGCACTTCACCTTCTATGAAATTCGTTTAGTTTGAGATGAACGATGAAAAATGGTAGCAAATAAAACGTCATGGAAAGAAGATCAACATCTAAAAGAGATCAAACAGCTTCGGCGGCTTTAAAAGCCATATGGTGTAGCAAAAAGATTTTACTCAAAGTTTGCACATGTCTGGTTTTTTTTGGAAAAAGAAGTCTATTTCCTATTTTTCATTCAAGCTTTTATTTTATGAACGAACGAATTTTTTTAATTTAAAAAAAATGGAACGATTTTTTTACCGAACTTACGATTTTATTGAAAAATTATTTTACCGAACGAACAATCTCACTGACTGAATGATTTAATTGAACAATTATTCAATTAAATAAATCAAAATTAAATATATATTAAATATATTAAATAAAAATTGAAATATAATTCTGAAAACGATAAAAAAAAACAGAACGCGCCCATCTCTTATGTCTGTGTATAGAGATAATATGAAAGGAATAAAGTAGGGATGATATGAAAGGATAAAGTAGGGATGTTATGAGAGGAATAAAGTAGGAATGGTATGAGAGGAATATAAAGTAGGGATGGTATGAAAGGAATAAAGTAGGGATGATATGAAAGGAATAAAGTAGGGATGATATGAAAGGATAAAGTAGGGATGTTATGAGAGGAATAAAGTAGGAATGGTATGAGAGGAATATAAAGTAGGGATGGTATGAAAGGAATAAAGTAGGGATGATATGAAAGGAATAAAGCAGGGATGGTATGTAAGGAATAATCGTTTAAGATTTAATGAATATTGTTATGAATGGGCGTGCAACGGGTCACATGAAAACACGTCATCAGTCTCTTTTATTCCCTTTTCTAAACTTTTAAAACAGATTTTTAACTTGAAATATATCGGTTTTTTTTATATTAAAAACTGTATTTGTAGTTATTTGCTTGATAAAAATATTATTTTTTTTTGTGATTATTTTTAGCTTAAGTTGAGTTCTTTCATTTTGAATTCCTGTTTGTAATCTATAAAAATAGCATTTGGGAGACGTATTTGCAAATTAATACCTTTTACCTAACTGTAATGCAATTAATACCTTTTACCTAACTGTAATGCAATTTTAATAAATCTTAGATGCTTCATTGTACGCCGCCATAGTGTTTTTTTTTTTACAATCCTGTGTTACCAGAAAAAAGGGGACCATGATAAAGTCTCAATTTCATTTTTTTAAAATGCCCGAATTGGCATCGGGACATTAAGTGCCCATTACCATGATTTATTTAAATTGTATCTGTATTAGGATAGCTTAAAACCTTCAGCTTTATTTGAAAACTATATAGGTCATACAAACAGAGAGATTACTACTTTCCATATTTAGAAGTGATCTCAATTTTGGTGGTTGTGTGTCCAGTTGACCGATTTGCCTCAAATTTTGCCCACATCAATGTTCTTACTTTTGCCCACAAAAAATTTTCCAGAGCTAAGCTGGGTTCCCTAGCTTGTTGGAGCGCCCCCTATTATATTGAATTGTCTCCAAACTAACACGACAAAATACGCAAATAATACTCAAAAAACTTTTCTACAAGCAAATTTTTATATTGGCCTTATGCAGTTTTTGAAAATGATTTATTCTTTGTAAATTTTCTGATTAGTCCTGAAAATCGCAATATACAGTCATTAACGATCCAATATGATGTTGGACACTCTGTAATCTGTATATAGTCTATAGAGATGGGCATATATTTTTGTGAAAGAACGAACATTTTTAAGAACGAGCAAATTTGTTCGTGAAAAATGGTGTCGTTCAGAAAAAACGGAAGATTTTTTCGAACAAATTTTTTTTTAAAAAAAGGTAGTTTATTTGCTGACTGACCGTTTTTTAACAAAGTTTGAAAAAACGATCAATTTTTTAAATGAACGAACAATTTTTCTGAATGAAAGATTTCCCCAAACAATTGTTCAGTGAGAAAACGAACGAAATATATGGAAAATGAACGATAATTTTGATAACAAACGAGATTAATATTTTTTGAACGATTAAAAAAATTAACGAAATATGTCGCTCACAAACGATGAACAAACGAAAAGAACAAAAGGCCGAACGCGCCCAACTCTATATGTATAGATGCTAATTCACCTTGTGCTGGTGCAGCACTAGCATCCTCCTTAGGTTCCTCGTTCTCATCGATAGAGAACTCCCCTCTCCAGAACAGTTCTAGCTCATACTTCTCCACATCTGTCTTCAGACGCTTGTTTTTTATCAAGATTTTGCCTGCAAGCACCAACCTAACTTCATTAGATGTATAGATAGATCTATGATCTCAGCATGCAGTTTTAATCTTTATTTTTGATCCAGGTAAGTGTCCGAAATTCAACAAATTAGAGTGTCGTTTTTAGAAACAAAACGGCCAATCAGAAGCCAGGCACACAATTATAAAGAGAACTCTCATTAGCCGGAACCCAGCAAGGATATCCAAAAGAGAGGATTAACCCTATCCCTGCTGGGGTACTTGAAAACCAGGATATGCCCCCTCTAAATCCCATGTTTTATGTCCAAATATGACAAATGATACATCATTAGAAAGCTCTTGTCCTCTACTTTTAGAATCTGCAAAAAAAATTGCAAATTTGCAAAAATTGAATTTTTTATCGCAAAATCCAGTTATATAGTAAAAATGTATGCAAAAAAAATTGTCAAAAAAATGAAAAATTATACATTTTTGAAAAGCCCTTGACTATGCCATTTCAAATATGCAAAATTTTTTGCAAAATTTTAAATAACCTGTGGCCGAATTTAAAGAATTTGAGCGGCGGTTTAAATTTAAGCCGCGGTTCAAATATGGTTGGTTCCACTTAAAATTGTATCAAATGTTTCAAGATTTAAGCTGGCGCTAAATTTAAACCGGGTTTTGGCGGATTTTGACGGATTTAAACCGCGGCTCAAATTCTTTAAATTCCATCTCTGATTTTTAATTAAGAAAAACTAAAAATGTGCAAATTTCCTTTGACAGGTTGTTTGCAAAACTTGTGCAATCCGTTTCCTTTTGTCAGAGGATTTCCAAAAAGCTAAATTTTATCAAAATCTGACAAGTGAAAGTGGGTCAAAACAAAGATTTAGTTTGTTACAGGCAAAAGCAGTCATTCAGGCAGTGTGCCTGAGGACTCAGGCAGTTAGTGTTAAAGCCCGGTTTTAGGCTTAAGGGAGGGCTTTCGGTATGTGAGAAAAGTCAGAAAATTTCAACAGCCTCAGACCAATACTTTTTGAGTTATGTAAAAAAAACTACAGGGGGAGGGTCAAATTGACCCCCCCCCCCAGCTGGAATAGGGTTAAGCAGAACATCAAAAGTGTTTTCAGTGGATGTCGAGAAAAAGCGAACGGAATTATGGTTATCCAATACAATCGTTTCCAGCTCAGGGCATGTAAAACTTTTATTGTAAATAATAATTATTTGATGTGTATTTTAATATTTTGATATTTTATGCCAGCAAGTAAAAATAAGAGTTTGGGTTGGTTCCTTTAAGGAGGTTAGGAGAAGGAAGAGGTACTCCAGGTAGTAGAGCGACCTCCTTCAAGGGATCCTTGAGGAGCAGGTCACCAAATATATCCACACAGTACTTTGCCATCTTAAAAATTCATTTTTATAAGTAAAAGGAAGAGACTTTAAAGACTTCAGTCCCCCCGGCCCCAGCCTTTCCATGGATAATTTGTATTTCTAGTTTGGCACTTCTTATGTTAAATTTCAATAAATCCCTTAATCTTTTAATTTTAAAGTTAAATCCAATGATGTGCAAAAAAAAAAAATTAATTTTGAATTACAGGAAAATTTTACTTTTGCATCATATATTTTCCAAAAGACTTTATGTATGAAATCCAGCGGATTTTTGAACCCAACTTTATAATTTTCGATCAAAACTATCGGAAGAAATATTAAGTTTTGCTCTGCTTCCAGTCTCTCAAAGAGACTGTAGCCGTTACTTAAAGTGACCCTCAATATGCCCGATATACAACGTTATCCTTGAAACCTTTATTTAATCAATATTGTGGAAAATATTGTCGTTTTTCTAGGCTTAAAAGTGTTTTTTTTCGGTAATTCGTTTGTAGAGAAAAACTTTAATCATTGATAACTTATGTATACTTGATCAAACAAAGCTTTTCAGGGATATCATTGCTACTTATGCATGGAGGGTCACTTGAACTTACGCTAACAGTACCTTTAAATTAAGATAAAAGATATTACCTTCAATGTCGGTGTCTGCTACAGTATCATTAAATGCCTTAAATTGTTGTGGTCTGCTGTAGTATCATTAAATATCTTAAATTGTTGTGGTCTGCTGTAGTATCATTAAATATCTTAAATTCTTGTCGTCTGTTAGAGTATCATTTAATACCTTAAATTGTTATGATCTGCTAGAGTATCATTTAATACCTTAAATTGTTGTGATCTGCTAGAGTATCATTTAATACCTTAAATAGGTGTTGTCTGCTGTAGTATCATTAACTACCTTAAATTGTTGTGGTCTGCTACAGTATCATGTAATACCTTAAATTGTGTAGTCTGCTAGAGTATCATTAAATACCTTTAATTGTTGTGGTCTGCTACAATGGTTCTCAAATGAAAGAATGACAGGATACTGGGAAGTTACAAAGGCACAATCTCGAATGGCGTAAATTACTTCCTAAAAAATAAAATCTCAATTTGTTCATACATGTTTGATAAACCTTTTAAAAACAGTAAAACTAAAGAATAGAAAGACGACTGTGGGACTTAAGTAAAAAGACTCAACAATGAACATAAAACACAATAGTTTTACTTAGTAATCTTATTATCATGCATCAGGTGAAACTGTTTGGTTAATAAGAAAATCAAATAAACAGAACGTTGATTCAATGTCGTCGTCTTATACTTATAATTCAAGTACAAGAAAAAATTATAATTATATCCGACTTGTATTCATTTTAAAACAAAATCCAGAAAATTTGATTAAAATATCGAGATTAATGCTTGATCCTCTCTTTTTCTTAATTTCGAGACTAACCTAATCTTGTACTTGAATCCTGAGAAGTGTATAAAACTCAACCAATCAGAGTCGCGTATATGAAGCCGATAAATTTGAAATTTTGCGCGCCATTTAAGACTAATATAAAGAAACAGGTGGGACTCTCTAATTTAGAAAAACTGGTTTTTGATTTTTCTCTACTATATCCAAGAAAGAACAGTTTAAGAAGAAAATCAAAAGTGTGTCCATAGGATACTCAGATTAAGTAATTGGAATTATGGAAATCTCATTCTAAAGTTTTCAGATCTGGTTATTTTTTCCTCTTTATGGATACCTCTACCGGATTCCGACCAATAAGAGTTCTCTTATTAAATGGCGCGTAAAACTTTAAATTTCCCGTCCTCTGATTGGCTCTTCGGGATTCTGCATACACTCCTCTTATTGGTTGAATTATATCAAATTTACCGATACAAACTAAAGATTAAAATAATCTTAAGATTAACAAGAGGAGATCAAGCATTGATCTCGATATCTCGATTTTAGAGTGTGGAAAGCTTAATATTAAACCGGATTAAACTAGTCTTTTTAGGAGTGTTGCCAATTTGAATTCATTCTGCAAACTTATACAGATGATTCAATGCATGATTATAGAGAAAAATATTCAATTAAATCTAAGCATTCCCCGAATAAAATAATTTATAATTTAATTTCAATATAAACTCAGACATATTTTAAGTACCACCAGTTAGAGCAAGCTCTGTACAGTACAAATACAGACTTTGTAAGGCAAAAAGGGGCAGTACGCCAAATAAATAATCCCCATTAGTGAAATCTAAGAGATCTTAATCATAATTCAGAAAATTGTATGTCAGGGTCTCAAGGGGTCAAATGTAATATCCTAATTTTTTTTAATATGAACCAAGCCCAAGATATTTTTACATGACAAACTGTACATTCTGGCCTTGGGAACATCTTTTGACTCTGAATTCAATGCTTATGACATTAAGTTTATTTTTAAACAATTCCTTAAAGGAAACATAAAAATACCTTGAAATTGATTTCTGTACACATAGCTCTGCCATGAGTTATAATAGGCTCCTGATCATCTCCCTTTCCATCCCAGCAATCCAGTTCTACACATCTACAGCCAGCTAGTAGAACCTAGGGGAGATATAGTTTAACCCTTTCCATCCCAGCAATCCAGTTCTACACATCTACACCCAGCTAGTAGAACCTAGGGGAGATATAGTTTAATCCTTTCCATCCCAGCAATCTAGTTCTACACATCTACACCCAGCTAGTAGAACCTAGGGGAGATATAGTTTAATCCTTTCCATCCCGGCAACCTAGTTCTACACATCTACACCCAGATTGTAGAACCTAGGGGAGATATAGTTTAACCCTTTCCATCCCAGCAACCTAGTTCTACACAACTACACCCAGCTAGTAGAACCTAGGGGAGATATAGTTTAACCCTTTCCATCCCAGCAGTCTAGTTCTTCACAACTAAATAACTAATTATAGTACCTACATTAATGTACATTAATAGAACATACCTGTACTTTTATCAACCTTTCTGTACATTTATCTACCTAATTCAGCACATGGTTTTGTATGTGCCTATCTTTATATGTATTTTCCTATTTGTACATGCAATTCTCTACCTGTACATGAATTAATCTGTATTGCGTGTTTACATATTAATCTGTTCATGTTTGTAAATGTAAATGTATGCTTATACCTATCTGTACATGTATCTCTTTATCTGTACATTAATCTATTTCTCTTGCATACTTACATACCTATTTGAACATATATATACCTATCTGTACATGTATATACTTATCTGTACATGTCTTTACTTATCTTAACATGTATCTACATATCTGTACATGTATCCATCTATCTGTACATGTATCCAGCTATCTGTACATATATCTAATTATCTGAACATGTACTTATGTATCTGACCATGTATTTGTACCTATCTGTACATGTATCTATTTATCTGAACAAGTATCTATCTATTTGAAAATGTATCCAACTATCTCTACATGCTATGCATGCACTTATGTGTACATGTTTGAACTTAGCTGGACATGTATCGATCTATCTGTACTCATATTTACATATCTGTACATGTATTCAACTATTTGTACATGTACCTACTTATCTGAACATTTATCTATATATCTGTACTGTATATATACCTGCCTGTCTACCTATCTTACTGTATCTACCAATCTGTACATTTATCTACCTATCTGTAAATGTATATGCACCTATCTGTACATGTTAATGTACCTGTCTGTACATCTCTACAGATGATTTCCCTCCGAATTGTCTGCCAGATAGATAAGTGTTGTGAGATGAGTTTATGTAGTAGTGAGACAATGGTTGGTCCATATCCTAGATAATTAGAAACAAATTCAGAACAAATTTAAAGAGACTGTTCCTAAATAATTAGAAACAAATTCAGAACAGATTTAAAGAAACTGTTCCTAGATAATTAGAAACAAATTCTGAACAGATTTAAAGAGACTGTTCCTAGATAATTAGAATCAAATTCAGAACAGATTTAAAGAGACTGTTCCAAGATAAATTTAAACAAATTCAGAACAGATTTAAAGAAACGGTTCCTAGATAAATATAAACAAATTCAGAACAGATTTAAAGAAACTGTTGACAAAACTTTAAGTAACACTTAATTTACAGTGTCTGCATGTTCAATTCACATCAGAATATTATATTACAAATTTTCCAGCTGAAAATTGATTATTTTCAAATGTGGTTTCTCGGTAAAAGCACATTATACAGAGAGTAGACCACAGCGTTAAAATAATGAAATATATCTGGATAAAGCAAAAAGATGATTTTAAGACTTTTGTGTCAACATTTTGCATAAGAAAAGCATCTGACTACAGCTTATTATGTTATGCAAAGGCTTTCTGCCTATCAACCGAGTGACGTCTAGATTACCGTGGGAGGCTGAACTTATGCCCCTGACCTAGTTTTATGCTGCCAATTTTTGTAAACTGATGATTGTGGGTTTCCACAATAAAAGTTGTCCTTGCCAGAAATAAGAAATATGTATTGTCAGAGGATAAAGTACAATCATATTGATTGATTGATTGAAGAACTGTTTTAGATTATATATCATAATTTCAAAAAATTCATGGAAATGGAAAAAAACTATAATCTTTTATTATTTTTTTTTATGGTAAAATTGGTTGCTCAATCTAAAAACATTAGAAACATGATTTTTTTCTTATCTTTTCTTAATTCTCAGCTTAAAGGGACTATGGTCGTAATTTTACGCGACCCTCGATTTGTATATTGGAGTGTCCAATTCACAACAGTTACCTTTAAACCATTGACTGATGAAAGATCAAGGACGCCAGCGTACACTTTAATTTTCCGGTAATGTAAACACAATTTTAAAGATAAACACACAGAGTTCACTGCACTCGATGATCTGCCAAAGGTTTAAAGTCTACCTGTAGTAAATGCCGTACTCTTAAAAGTTCTTCACATAAACAACATTTCAGCACAATCAAAATAGTTGTAATTAAAGATTTTCGTCATATACATCTTCACATTATTTTAAGTATTCATTTAGAACGCGGTTCAAATGAATAAAACAGTTTTATGTACAAACATTAATTACTAAAAGTGTACAACATATTGCAAATATTTATGAAATATCGTATAACCCGATATTTATTACATACTGTTGTAAATCGAGGATTCCCCTCTTTACAATGAGGTTGACTTGAAATTACACCAACAGTCCCTTTTAATTTCTAATTGGATAATTCCCTGATACATGACACTAATCGTATAATTGGATGAGCGAGGGATGAAACTGGTGAGGTTTCATCCCTCGCTCATCCAATTATGCTTAATATCCAACCAATTCAGGGGCATTTAGTGCAACTATATCAAATAGATAAAAAGCGATATTTTTTGATATTCAGAAAAAAAACAAGAAGAATAGTTCAATGACAGAGATTTGTTAACTTCCAAGAAGTCAGGGGTAAAAGCTGTAACAATATACTAACTAGACAAAAATAGACCAATCATTAAATATAAATCCAGCAATACAGGAGGAAACAGTTTAAAACACTCAACACTCTATAGCTTTCTTAATATTTAAACCAGCCTTCTTAATATTTTCAACAATTCAGGGGAATAAAGTTTCGGTATACATATGTGATAAAAAAGCGATCTTTTAAATATCCATATAAAGAACAAGAACAGCTTTTAATGAAAAGATTTAAGATTTTAATCCATTCCCCAAAAATACAGGAAGATAGTTACATAAAATACATGGGAGTACAGTTACATTTTACTAAAATACAGGGGAGTACAGTTACATTTTACTAAAATACAGGGGAGTACAGTTACAATTTACTAAAATACAGGGGAGTACAGTTACATTTTACTAAAATACAGGGGAGTGTAGTTACATTTTACTAAAGAAATAAAAAAAAGCACTATACACTGCACCTGGTATATGTCAAGCCTATCCAGGAAAACTGGTGCATTCTCATCTGACATCAAGTACCTAAAAGTATCTGTGTTTGTATCCATATTCATATCTATATCCGTATCTGTATCCGTTTCTGTTTATCTTAATCCGTATCTGTATCTGTATTTGTATCTGTACCTGAATATGTAACTGAATCTGTAACTGAATCTGTATCTGTATCTGCATCTGCATCTGTATCTGTATCTGTATCTGTATCTGTATCTGTATCTGTATCTGTATCTGTATCTGTATCTGTATCTGTATCTGTATCCGTATCTGTATCTGTATCTGTATCTGTATTTGTATCTGTATTTGTATCTGTATTTGTATCTGTATCTGTATCTGTATCTGTATCTGTATCTGTATCTGTATCTGTATCTGTATCCGTATCTGTATCTGTATATGTAACATTCTACCTTGTAAAGCCTTCTTTTCCAATTGCTTTTTTATTCAGTAGTTCCGGATCTGTTTCATATTTAGTGAGAATCTCCAGTACTCTTGCCTCATTGTAGTGCGGATACAAGATCTCATTTAATCTAAAGAACCAAACTTTTGTGTTGGTCATTATCTCGATAGCTTGATCTTATTTTCACCGTTAGCTCTTTTTTTAGAAATTAAGGCTTAAGCTCTTCATTTTATGTATTCCCTCAGGTTAGAATTACAAGCACCGCGGTATTTCATAATAAACTTGAAATCAAGCAAGATCAAGCATTGATCTCAATATCCACAATACAAAAGTTCATCTTCTATTTATAACAAATATGTTGAAATGTTTGAATATCTGATATGGTTGAATAATCAAAGTTTTTATTCTTAATACTCAAAAAGCTCTAAAAAAATTGTACTCTTGAAAACTGAAAAGTTTGTTATTAAAAGCAGATCAATTTTACGAAACTTTAAGCGTTATTTCTAAAATAAATGAAATAAAATTCTCGCACTTAAAGCATTATTTGAAAGATATATGGATAATAAATAATATAGCTTAAACTTTCGCACCAAACAAAATTATGATGGTGTACAGAAATACGGGAAGCTGTTTATTTCTTGAATTTTCGGAAAACCAATTTATTTTAACATTTTTTTTAACACTTTGAGAAAGAATAGATTAGATTTCAAATCATGAAATGGTTCCTTCGGAGTTAAAAGTAAAATAAAAAGTGAAACTACCTAGGATCTCTCTGCTTTTCGTTTAAGAATTCGATCAGTTTACTTGACTCTATATAAGTTCTTTCCTCCTGATCTTCGTTGATCGTCCTAAGAGAGAAAAATGTATAATGGAGGTATGGGTTGATCGTCCTAAGAGAGACAAATATATAATGGAGGTATGAGTTGATCGACCTAAGAGAGACAAATATATAATGGAGGTATGGGTTGATCGTCCTAAGAGTGACAAATATATAATGGAAGTTTGGGTTGATCGTCCTTAGAGAGACAAATACATTATGGGTGTAAGGGTTTCATTACAGGGTGTAGATGGGAATCGTTTTTGTTAAAAAGCAAACTTTTTTTAACAATGGTTCAGAAAAGTTAACGAACAATGAAAGAATGGTTTGGTTTATTCGTATTTGAAAAACGAAAAAAAACGAACGCTTTATGGATCAATTAAACCGTTTAAGCATGATTTCTAAATCGTTTGTTCGGACAAACTTGAAAAAAAACAATTGTTTTTTACTGTTCCAAAAAATCTAACAAACTCTTTTACTAGATGAACGATTTTTTGGACGTATTTTTATAAATAGCGTTTTTTTTACTGAACGAACAGTTTTATTGATTGAACTGCAGATACTTTTACTTAGTACGATCTAAATGAAAAAAACAATATAATTGAACGATCGTACAGTTGGAAAACGAACAAAATAAATGGAAAATAAACGATAATTCTGAAAACGATCGAAATTATTTTTTTTATGAACAACTGAAAAAAAGAACGGAATAGGCCTTAAGGGACAATTGCCGAACAAAATTGAAAGAAAACCAAACACGCACTACTCTGCAAGTGGTGCAGACTGCAGGCACATTTATGTCACCATCTTGATGTTTAACCATGTACCTTTAAATGGAATATGTACTGCAGTATCATATATTTTTTATCATAATTTACTGCAGTCTAAAACTTCAAACTTTAGCCCGAAAAGCTGAGATACAAGTAAAGAAAATATTAAACATAAAATAGTTCAAGAAAATAAACATATAGTCGCAAGTATATTGTAAACATTAAACCGTACTGCAAGTATATTGTAAACATTATAGCGTACTGCAAGTATATTGTAAACATTAAACAGTACTGCAGTTTAAAGCTATGAAAAGTGTGACATGAGACATGATCAGGAATTAATCAAAGTTTTTATAATAATCCTGCATGCAAAGTAAAACATTTTTGAATTTTCGTGATTAGTTTTTTAGAATGTTATTTTTTAAAATATTATTTTTGAAAATTACAAAATAAATTTTAACTTTGTGATCAGTTTCCTAAATCATCCTAAATCAACCTTGTCTTAACCTGGCTTAAACTTAATTTTATAATCCTTATATCTTTGCAATCTGAGCTCAGCTAAGATGAGAGATTTTAAAGTCAGAGTTTTAATAAAATAAAGAAACTTATTTAATTTAACCCTGATCCGACCGCTCCCACTGCACTAACATTTTTAGACATAAATAAAAAAGTGTTTGTCTGAGGCTGTTCAAATTTTTGCCTTTCTTTCTAACTTACATATGTCGGGCGTTTATGCCTAACCGGGACCCCCCCATGTTAATCCATTCGTTCGGTGAAATAAAAAAGTTTTTTTTCGACAAACATGAAAATAAAAATTTCTTATTTTTGTTATCTGAAATCATTCAAAACTAACTTTATTTATAGAGTTTTCTCTTTTCTAAGTTTTTCTCACGAAGACATATTTTCCTCTTTAAATTAAAGACTAAAATTATATTCACCTGAAAAGTTCATCAATATCATTCCTGGGACAAATAGTTTGGTAGATGGCGTAGAATTTTTCAAATGTAAAATCCTTTACAAAAAAAAACTGATTTTTGACCATGAATTAATTGTTGAGCCGATAATATAAGAACATATTTGAAAGATCTCAACCGAAAAAATTCTTTTTTTTACTGGAAACAATATTAAAAGATATTTTTCTGAAAACTAAATAAAAAAGTCAATAGTGTACTCGTTTAAGAATATAGGTAAGTGAAAACATTTGTAAATGTTTCTTTAAAGAATGGAAACACAATTAAAACATTTAATTAGTGAAAAACAAATACAAGTATGTGCAGGGAAAGTTTTTCTTGCCCCATGACAAATTAAGAAAAGAAATTGAGTCTTTACAACAAACTCAAATGTTTTAATCTTATAGTGTAAAACTTTATTTAAATTCAGACTACTTTATCTAATAGAATTCATAGCTTTGCAACCCATGATGTTCTACAACATCATGGGTTGCAAAAATGTAGGGATTTGAAAATCAGAGTTTGAGGCTTTGTAATTTTTGTCATTTTAAGCGCAAAAAAGTAATAAAATTTGTGTATTAAAAGAAAAATATATTCATTTTGCGCATTAAAAAGTAAACTAAACTTCCTTTATTAATAGACAAATATATTCATTTTGCGCACTAAAAAGTAAACTTACTTTCATACATAATTCTAGATGTATTAAACCAAATTACCAACTTTTATTCATAGTTATGATCTTTGTATTAGAGAATTTCATTGATAAGATGTTGTTTTTATTTAAATAAAAATATCTTTAAAGGGACAGACCGGCTATGTAAGGTAGTTGAACTGAGTATGCAGTGTTAAATAGAAATCTTCTTTAGGATTCATTTGAGACATATAAAACGTTTTAAAGATCTGTAAATCCTGAGTTTGAGCGCAAATTCGGCAGTTTGAAACTTTTAATATGGGAGTAGATACGTTTTCAGAATTAGTTTTTTTAAATTATTAAATAACGACGACAAAAAATAAAGTAAAAATTATACAGTAATCTAATAAGATGGTTAGGAACATATTTCTCAAAAGAAATTTGTAAATAAATCAATGTTAGAATCAATTATTTCGTTTTCATCATTATATTGAATTTCTTTTAAATATTTACTAAAAAATCTGATTTTCCTCCAGATTGATGAGATCAGATTTACCATTTGGTAAACCAACATCAGACAAGGTTTGGTAAACCAGCTTCTCAGTTTTACCTAAACACACATTTGAATACAAAGTCAAGCTTTTGAACCTATATATTCTTCAAAGGATTTTCCCTTTGGTGTTAGGTACTTTCCCAAAGGTATTTTCCAAAGGTGACTTCCCAATTGACAATTTCCCAAGTGGCATATTCCCAAACGTGCAATTTCTTTAGCAGCAACTTTCAGCAGGCTGCAATGGGGGGCCGAGGTGGTGGGGCTTGAATATGCTATGGGGCTCAGCGCTCAGGCTAGGACAGAAATGGGAAAATGCTTTTGAGAAGTTTCTGCTCAGGATAATTCCTTTAGGAAAGTACCTAACATAATCATTTGTTTGTAACCCTCCTGGGACCCCCCTTACGTTTTTTGGAGTATTGGTCTGAGGCTGTTCAACTTGTTTTAATTTTCTTACTAACACATGCCACTCAATTTGGGCTCAACGCGGAGCTTTCATACCAACTGCCTGAGTCGTCAGGCATATTGCCTTAATGCATGATTTTACCGTTACCCGACTAAATCTATATTTAGACCTACTAATGGTCATTTATGGTCAATTTCCTAAATCGATCAATAAATCAATTTATCGATCTATCAATCAATCAATAGATCATTTTATCAATAAAGAAATTATTTAGTTGTTCAATCATTCATTTAGTTGTTCAATCAAATAGTCAATTTATTAATGAATTAAATACTCAATAAATAGATGAATTCAAGTAAAAAATAATTTAAAAAATGAAAAGTGTTAAACCTACCGCTGGCGAATGTTTTTGTGATGTGTCGAACTTGCACCCTCCCATCACCAGAAACTAGAAACCTAGACAATTATTTTAATTTTTATTTTATCAAATTTTGTCGGAGAGAAAGAGAATATAAACGTCCCACGCCAAACTAAAGTAAATTGCATTTAACCCTATTCCTGCTGGGGGGGGGTCAATTTGACCCCCCACATAAATTTTCCAATAACTCAATTTTCCATAACTCAAAGAGTATTGGTCTGAGGCTGTTGAAATTTTCTGACTTTTCTTACATACCCAAAGCCCTCACTTTAGGCCTAAAACCGGGCTTTAATACTAACTGCCTGAGTCATCAGGCACACTGCCTGAATGACTGCTTTTTCCTGTACCAAACTAAATCTTTTACATAAGGAAACGAATTGCACAAGTTTTGCGAAAAAAATTGCAATTTTTTTGCAAACAACCTGTCAAAGGAAATTTGCACATTTTTAGTTTTTCTTGATTAAAAATCAGGTTATTAAAAATTTTGCAAAATTTTTTGCATATTTGAAATGGCATTGTCAAGGGCTTTTCAAAAATGTATTATTTTTCATTTTTTGGACAATTTTTTTTGCAAACATTTTTACTATACAACTTGATTTTGCGATAAAAATTTCAATTTTTGCAAATTTGCAAATATTTTTGCAGATTCTAAAAGTAGAGCACAAGAGCTTTCTAATGATGTATCATTTGTCATATTTGGACATCAAACATGGGATTTAGAGGGGGGGGGGTCAAATTGACCCCCCCCAGCATATCCTGGTTTTCAAGTACCCCAGCAGAGATAGGGTTAAGATTGAAATCTTATATTATTTATCATTACTCCTCCTACTGAGAGAGCTTCTGAGGTCACAACGTCGCACCAATAATGTAGAATGAACTGTCTTGTTGACAGTCCATTCTTTAAGACGTAAAATATTATCCAATGATAAATTAGTAATGCAAGGCTACATTTGTTCACTTTGTCAAAACAGAAAATATCCCTCTTTTAAGGCTACACTTGTTCATTAAACTAAAAGTCTTAGAGTCTTCGTATGCCCATTCACCAATCAGAAACAAAATTGTCACTTCCTTTTTTATTCATCTTGAATTTTGAAATTTCAAGAGTAAAATGCAGAAAATATGCAAAAAGCAAAATAATTAAAAAAAAAAAATTCTGAAAACGTATCCATCCCCCAACTAGGAATTTTTGAACGTCAAGTTTGCGCTCAAACTCAGGATTTACAGATCTTTAAAAAGTTTAATATGTCTCAAATAAATCCAAAAGAAGTTTTCCACAACACTGCATACTCAGTTCGACTACCTTACATAGCCGGTCACTCCCTTTAAAAAAAACAGAATATTATTGACAAATAATTTTTTTTTTATTTTTAAGCTCTTTAATTCTTTTATAAATTTTTTTATAAAGTTTTAATGAAATTATGGGAAAAGCTTGCAATTTTCTAAAAACGTCAATGATTCATGAAAATAAAGCCAAAAATTATATGAAGTAAAAAGATTAAAAAAAACTGATTAGATACTTGTCTTAAACTATGTTTTCTGACCTCTGAGTGTTTTGAGCAGCTGAACTTTTAATATCGGAAAGTATTGATATTATATTTAGAAATTGTGAATACAGGGATCTCTACATTATTTTTATATATTATTCAAAATCTTTGAATTATTATGTTACTCAGACTAACGCAAATTAATCCTGTTTTTGTATTGTTATAATCAAACTCTGTTAATCCTCTAAATTCATTAAAAAACTGTTCTGTAATAGGTGTTTTTTGAATATCATTTTTTTAATAATTATGAATGACAAGGCGCCAATTCCGGACCCGCCACCACGCCGCCACATAAGCACCACCTGGTGGCTAAAAATGGCAACTCATTATTCCTTAATCGTGAATAAATTTATATTCAAACAATATTTTGAATGGTTTATTCGAGCATAAGGATCTGATTTCGATATTCAAGTAAACAAAAACTTTTCAAATTTTTTAAATAGAACACAGAATAAATCAAACTAAATGTCAGCCATTTTTGAATTGAACACAGAATGACTCAAACTAAATGTCAGCCATTTTAAATAGAACACAGAATAAATCAAACTAAATGTCAGCCATTTTTGAATAGAACACAGAATAAATCAAACTAAATGTCAGCCATTTTTGAATAGAACACAGAATAAATCAAACTAAATGTCAGCCATTTTTGAATAGAATGCAGAATAAATCAAACCAATTATTTATCAATCAAAAGCGTTTCAGTTGATTATTACAGATATGTCCGACATTATAAAGGGTACCGTTGTGAATCGGGGTACGCTTTAAGCCTTCGGCTGATGTCGACATATCTGTATATATTTATATATACGGTTACAGTTCCCTTAAATCCTACTTTAGAAGTAAATTTAAAACTATATTTTGTGTTGACAGAACAATACATTTTTTTTTGTTTTGATTTGATTTTTTAACCTGAGTCTCATCCAATGTTTTTTCAGACTCATCATTGGACAAATGTTGTTGATTTTGTTGTTGTTAGACAATAACCTCAAACCATCCATCCACATCTATAGAAAAAGTTAAAATCATGAACTGAAGAACCCTCTGACAAGGTTATAATTCAAGGAAAGTTAATTGCAGTTGCGTAAACTCTGCGTACATATTGAAACCAGTTCTCTCTGGGCGTGATTTGTAAACAAAAATGGGTGCATCAGTGTTTGTTTAGCATCCGAGGAGGCTAAAAGCATTACATTTGGATAAATTTTATCATTCACACAGTTTTCTATGACCAGAATATTTCATTGATTTTTTATGTGAAAGATGGATCCCAAGTCAGACTTCGACATCAGTCTTGTGTTTACATTACCGCCCAGAGACAGTGTCACAGTACACTGAAGTGCAAAAGATGCGTACACCTCTGAAATAACTTTCCTTGCATTATAACTCTGTGACACATTTGCCTAAAATTGATTACGTTACTCGGTCGAACCACGGGCTTGGTTCAAAAATTCTAAGTTGAGTGAGTTGACTTTATGGAGAAAGACTAATTTCCGGGCAAAGATGGGTTCCAGAAATTGATAATAAAGTAATAAAAAGACTGTAAGATTTAAACTATCAATGTTACATAGAGATTAGAAATTTGGAGCCTAAAATTATTGTTTTAGTTATCAGTTCCATTGGTTTAACACTTGTAATATCTATACATACTTTGCCTGGGTGTCTAGGTGTCCAATAAACGTCAAAACGGCTGAACCGTTTGGCCCAAATTTTTTGTGGGACCCGTGGTGACCCTAGGGAAGGTTTATGGACGATCGAATTTTCAAAATGAACCTCTTACAAAATTCGATTTCTGAATATCCACGACATTTCTTTATAAAATCAACAAAATTTTTTGTTGTTTTTGTTTTATAATGAATACAAATAGAAAATGTTCACAAATGAAATAGAAGATGGGCGCGAAGCGCCCTGGAAGCCCAGTAATATATTCTGTTTTTCATTGTTTTGGAAGAAATGTTGTTTCATAAAATATTCATTTGGCAGAGCGAGAATAATACATCAGGAGTATTTGTTTTGACCAGAGAGCACTCTTTTCAAAGATGCTTTGCGTAGTTCGATATATATTCCGAACCAAATGTCAGATAAAAGTAAAAATAAAATATATCTTGAAAACGAAATATGAAATAAAACAAAATTCACCGCAAACAAGACGGAGAAAGTAAAATGTGTGCGAAAATACTGGTACAACTTGTGACCTCGTAGCTCCTCAAGGTTTGATTATATGCACTAGTATAAGAAAACACATTTTTATTTGGTAACATGTCAGAAATTCATAGAAAAACACTTATAAAGAAAAAAAAATTTGTTTTAAGGCAACGCTTGGTTCCCAAGCTAGTATGTTATATATCTTCAAATAATGCTAAGGCAAGGTATTATTAAATAAAGAAATAATTAATTATGTTTATCTTTGTAATTAATGTTATAAAAGATTTATCTTATTTGTAGTTTATATCACATCCCTTACTATTCCTCAAATGTTTAACCCTATTCCTGCTGGAGGGGGGGGCAATTTGAACCCCCCTCTGTAGTTCTTCTACATAACTCAAAAAGCAAGTCGACCCTTCCTTAAACAGTGATGAGACTTTTTATTAGCAGGCTGATTATATCTCTTTTTACTATATTGCAAATAAAATAAGGATATCTCCATCTTGTCTTGAAGGTTCGCCTTTAGCTAAATTTCTAACATCTTAAAAGTAAGTTAGTCAGAGCTGAAAACTTTAGAATGGTATATTCTTAATCTCGATCGGTTAATTAATCTGGAGATAAATAACAAGAGGAGAACAAGCATAATTTAATCTCGAGATTAAGAAAAAGAGTGGATCAGGCCTTAATTCCGATATCCACCATTCAAAAGTTCCCAGCTCAGATCAGTTCTTAATATCTATCAGACATACTTTCTTGTAGAAATATTTAGGATTTTGCCAAATAGATAAATATAAATAAATATGTATATATCATATATAAATATATACATACAGATATTTCTTTATTGGAAACCTATCTATATTCAGAATAAAATGCCTGTTATATTTTATGTATTCTAGAAAAATTGAGAAAGAAATTGAGTTTTAGCTACAAGCTCAAATTTTCTAATCCCTCTATCTTTGCAACTTGATGGTGAAAACTTTTTATATTTCAAACTTAGACTATTTAATCTATAAATAGAACTTAGTAAGAACGTTATTTTGGATGTTAGGTAAGGAAATTGGTTCGTTGGTTAGTTGGTTCGATGGTTAGGCTCCTCAACTAGGACACAGTAGTCTCCAATAATTATTAAGTAGATTTATTTCAAACATGTAATAAATTACAGGTATATTAAACATAAATAACAATATTTTTATGAAGTTAAATGTTTGATAAATAGATTCCTATTATTTCGTGTCGTAGGGAAAAGGAGTGGTTAAGGGGTTGAGGGTTTGGTGGTATAGTTTAAAACATTTATAATACTTCTGAAAATATACACCCGATTAATTAAGTGGAATTTATTATAGATTGCAAATTTATTTAGGGATTTAATTTCTTACCAAATTGCTAACCAAATAACTCTGAAATAGGAGGACAACTTTTAGACTCAATTTATGTCTTTAAATAGTCCAATGAGCATGGAGCAGACAGCTATTGTGGAGTGTAAATCCATTTTACTTAACTAGTTGTTTATTAAGGGTCTAGTAAAACTTTTTTTTTGTGTAACAACATCATATACACTTAAGCAGAAGGGTTCTGTTTAGGTAGATCTAGGCCCGAATTTAACTCCTATGTATTACAATCCTCTATCTCAAATATAAAGAGAAAATCATAGGGAGAATAAAAAACACCCTTTCCCCCCCCCCATAGTCCAATCGGTTTAGGGTTAATGAATTTGCAGGGTCGCTAAACTGTCTTCTGCCTAACACAGGCTAAAATTTGAATCACCAATTCAAATCCTTTTCACATATTTGAACCGACAGTAAGTAGTTAGTGACGTAGCTTAAATCTATTATTTCGGTTTACAAAGATTAAATGGACAGTTAACGTCATCAGGTTAAACGGTCAAATGAATTAAAACATTAGAGTTTGGGGCAAGTATTTACTTCCTTTGTCAATATCAGATTGATGTTTGCTAATAAAATATCAAGATTCAACACAGAATTTTTTTTTAGTTCAAAAGAGTTGAATAAATACCTTGTAATTCTCTCCATGGGTTCTAACCAGTGTAGCATGCAACCTGAGCATTAACAATTATTCAATATTTATTTATAGATATATTTAAGTTTTTAATCTTCACATTTTACAAAAAAAAGAATTATACTATAAATATAATGTTTCACGCCTCATGACGATCATCAGCAGTCAAAATTCGTTGAACAACTAAAATTTTAAGATTTTTTTCATCACATCATATATATCTAGGTCTAGGGCTATGGATACCTTGAGTCTCTACATAGGTCTAGGTCTATGAATACCTTGAGTCTCTATATAGGATAGGTCTATGAATACCTGGAGTCTTCGTATAGGTCTAGGTCTATGAATACTTTGAGTCTCTATATCGTATCGTCTATGAGTACCTGGAGTCCCAATATGTGTCAAGGTCTATGAGTACCTGGAGTACCAATATGTGTCTAGGTCTATGAGTACCTGGAGTTACAATATGTGTCTAAGTCTATGAGTACCTGGAGTCTCTAGGTTGATCTTTGCTCCGAATATCATTAAGCTGAGATAGCTCGAGCACATCCCCTTCTCTTCCGTCACAAACCCAGTGCAGAAAAAATCCATACTCGTCAACCCTGGGATATAACATCATTTAAATTAAAGGGAATGTTTACTTATTTTAGGTTACTAATCCTGATTCCTAAAAGAATACAAATTATTCTATAAAACTTAATTGGTGTTTATTAGGACTTAAATACCAATAATCAATTAACTTGTAATTTTAAGAAGATCCCGGCCATGAACTAAACATAATAAATTCTCAAACAAAAAAATAACAATCATAAAATGAACAAAACGATTTATTTTGTCAAACATTTTTTAACAAATTAATTAGAAAATTATACTGAAGCACGGTTTTTGAATATTGTCATAGATGTGTTGGTTTTGTGAATTTGTAAAGATGGCTTTTTAATAACAACATCATAGCAAGTTTTTATACTTTAAACCATAAACATGATTACTTTTAGAAAACAACAACAATTATTTTTATTTTTGAAAAACTAACCACGAATCACGATCGCTTTGTTTCCCAACCGTTTGTCTTATATATATTTGAAAACGGTTTTTTCTACAAGTTTGTATTGAAAAACGATAGTATCGTTTTTAATTTTTTTAAACTATCTCTAATTCTTGGTTTTTTTCAACGAAACGAATGTTTTATTTTTTTATCTTTATCATTTTTGGTAAAAAAAACTGTGAATCCCTGCGTAATAAATAATGATTTGGTTAACTTAACAAATCGCAGACTTGAAATTGTAAGTTAATGCAATCGGGTTTCCATAAATTCACACACTCATGAAATTACGCTTACAGTCCCTTTAAGAAAAGAAAAAGTAATGGGTTTTATTGACCCTCCATGCATCGTTCCTATCAGTATTGATTAAGTTTGACACTTTGATTAAGTTAACACCAATTTATTAGTTCTATGTGTTCTGATTCTGAGAGATCTCCTAATTTTATCTAATTTATATATTTTCTCATCTTTCTTCTGTACTCAGATTTATAAATCAACAATTGTAATATCATATCGATGATAAATGGCGGTAGTATTTTTCAAATAATTTTCTTTTCACAAAAGAAATGGCCATGCCCTTAGCCAGGAAGGTTTTACAGGATATCTATCTCAGATAGATGTAAATCCTTTAGATTCCCCTCCTTTTCCATGCAGCATAAATCTGCAATTGAATTTTTCAAAAACAGGAAAACAAGGATTACTCCATAATTTTTTATAAGAATATGGGTTTAAAAACCAAAGATAATTGGACATTTAACTCTTAAACAGGAGGATCTTTAAAAATTTGGTCTACAGTTCATTTTAGGACCCCTCCAGCCTCCGATACAGTCCATTGTAGGACCCCTCCCGCCTGCGATACTTTTACCTGAATAACACATCTGCTTCAAGATCAACAGAATCCTTCTCCTCCACCCACTTGTCAAACCTAGCTCCAGTCTGTAGTTCAGCTGGTACTTCAACCTAGTAAATATACATCAAGCCTAGCTCCAGTCTGTAGTTCAGTTGGTACTTCAAACTAGTAAACATATATTAAATCTAGCTCCTGTCTGTAGTTCAGCTGGTATTTCAACCTAGTAAATATATATTAAGTCTAGCTCCAGTCTGTAGTTCAGTTGGTACTTAAACCTAGTAAACATATATTAAACCTAGCTCCAGTCTGTAGTTCAGTTGGTACTTAAACCTAGTAAACATATATTAAACCTAGCTCCAGTCTGTAGTTCAGATGGCGCTTCAACCTAGTAAACATATATCAAACCTAGATCATGTATAGTTTAGCTGGTACTTGAACCTACTAAACATATATCAAACCTAGATCATGTATAGTTTAGCTGGTACTTGAACCTAGTAAACATATATCAAGCCTAACTCCTGTCTGTAGTTCAGTTGGTACTTCAAACTAGTAAACATACATTAAACCTAGCTCCTGTCTGTAGTTCAGCTGTAACTTCAAACAAGCAAACATATATTAAACCTAGCTCCATTCTGTAGTTTAGCTGGTACTTGAACCTAGTAAACATATATAAAGTCTAGCTCCAGTCTGTAGTTCAGTTGGTACTTCAACCTAGCAAAACATATATGAAACCTAGATCTTGTATAGTTTAGCTAGTACTTCAACCTAGGAAACATATATTAAACCTAGATCTTGTATAGTTTAGCTAGTAATTCAATCTAGTAAACATATATCAAACCTAGCTCCTGTCTGTATTTCAGCTAGTTCTTCAACCGATTAAACATATTTCAAACCTAGCTCCTGTCTGTAGTTCAGGTGGTACTTCAACCTAGTAAACATAAATCAAACCTAGCTCCAGTCTGTAGTTCAGTCGGTACTTAAACCTAGTAATCAGATATCAAACCTAGGTTTTGTATAGTTTAGCTAGTACTTTAACCTAGTAAACATATATTAAACCTAACTCCATTCTGTAGTTCAGCTAGTACTTCAACCGAGTAAACATAAATCAAACCTAGCTCTTGAATATTTCAGCTGGTACTTCAACTTTGTAAACATGTATTAAACCTAGATCTTGTATGTAAATCAACACATATAATTATTTAACTTAAAATAAATAACAATGTGAAGTTTAGTTGAATTTTTACTTTGACCATACATGTTAACTATAGCTGGCCAAATGGCTGGACCGAATGGGCTGACATTTTTTAGGGTACCACAGGGGTATCCCGGAACATAGGCTTAACAAAATTAAACAAAAATCGAATTTATTTCTCAAAGTGTTCCGGATAACGCCGGGCACTTCAGCTAGTTGTAATAAATACAGTTCTAAGCTTCCCCAAAATTATTTTTGCCTTCACAACATTCGTAAAATACTCTAAACGTCGACGTACAGTTGTTGTAAATAAGTAATTTGAATTCTTTTTATCGTGATTTTGTTTTCTAACCTGCCAATCAAAATCTACTGCTTTTGTCATGTTTCAGTTGTGCGAAAACATATTTTATGCGTAAAAATGTTTTTGTGCGTAAAGATTGAAATATTTTGTGCAGTTTTTCACATCATGTCTGAAAAAAGATACTATATTAACTATAGACTTTGCTTTCGTCATTTAAATATAACATACAAAGTGTAAAGGTTTCATCTTAAAATGCAAAGAAAACAACATCTTAATCTTAATCCTTTGACCGATTTATGTCTGAATAAATAAATGTACATATGTAGATATGTATAATTTATGTCTGACTAAATAAATGTACATATGTAGATACTAGATATGTATGATTTATGTCTGAATAAATAATTGTAGGTATGTAGATATGTATGATTTATGTCCGAATAAATAAATGTACATATGTAGATATGTATAATTTATGTCTGAATAAATAAATGTACATATGTAGATACTAGATATGTATGATTTATGTCTGAATAAATAGATGTACATATGTAGATACTAGATATGTATGATTTATGTAAATGTGTAAAATATGTTTGAGCTTAAAATACATTTCCATTATTTCTATTATATTTCTTTTCTTTATTGTGGAGAAGTTAATCTGTATTTAGCTGATATACAGATTACAGGGTGTCTCAATATTTAGCTGATATACAGGGTGTCCCAATATTTAGCTGATATACAGGGTGTCCCAATATTTAGCTGGTATACAGGGTGTCCATATATTTAGCTGGTATGGGTGTCTCAATATTTAGCTGATATACAGGGTGTCTCAATATTTAGCTGGTATACAGAGTGTCCCAATATGTAGCGGATATACAGGGTGTCTCAATATTTAACTGATATACAGGGTGTCCATATATTTAGCTGGTATACTGGGGGTCTTAATATTTAGCTGATATACAGATTAAAGGGTGTCTCAATATTTAGATGATATACAGGGTGTCCATATATTTAGCTGGTATACAGGGTGTCTCAATATTTAGCTGATATACAGATTACAGGGTGTCTCAATATTTAGATGATATACTGGGTGTCCCAATATTTAGCCGGTATACAGGGTGTCCCAATATTTAGCTGATATACAGGGTGTCCCAATATTTAGCTGATATACCTAGGGTATCCCAATATTTAGCTTATACATAAGGTGCCCCAATATTTAGCTGATATACAAGCTGTCCCAATATTTAGCTGATATACAGAGTGTCCCAATATTTAGCGGATATACAAGGTGTCCCCAATATTTAGCTGATATACAGGTGTCTCCAATATTTAGCTGATATACAGGGTGTCTCCAATATATAGGTGATATACAAGGTGTTGCCAATATTTAGCTGATATATAAGGTGTCCCAATATATAGCTGATATACAAGGTGTAGCCAATATTTAGCTGATATATAAGGTGTCCCAATATATAGCTGATATACAAGGTGTCCCCAATATTCAGCTGATATACAGGGTGTCCCAATATTTAGCTGATAATCAAGATGTCCCAATATTTAGCTGATAATCAAGATGTCCCAATATTTAGCTGATATTCAGGGTTTCCCGATATTTAGCTGATATACAAGGGGTTCCAATATTTAGCTGATACACATGGTGCCCCAATATTTAGCTGATATACAAGGTGTCCCAATTTTTAGCTGATATACAGGGTGTCACAATATTTGGATGATATACAGGGTGTCCCAATATTTAGCTGGTACACAGGGTGTCCCAATATTTAGCTGATATACAAGGTGTCAACAATATTTAGCTGATATACAAGGGGTTCCAATATTTAGCTGATATACAAGGTGTTCCAATATTTAGCTGATATACAGGGTGTCCCAATATTTAGCTGATATACAGGGTGTCCCAATATTTAGCTAATATACAGGGTGTCCCAATATTTAGCTGATATACAGGGTTTCCCAATATTTAGCTGATATTCAGGATGTCCCAATAAACATGACAGAAACAAATTTGTCTTTGATCATTAATAAAAGCTTTCTAATGAGAATATTTGTATAAAAAAAGGTAATGAATGGTCTTTTTAGATTTCCTGAATGTGGCGTACCTTATAAAAAGGTCGTGCAATGTTTTTAATGCACTTTGTTTAACGATAACTAGTTAAGACATTTAAGTCGTGTTGTAACTGACTTATTTGATGGGAAACCCTGCAATTGACAGATTTTAGAGGGTTGACACTGCCAGTTCCACGAACTGATGGNGACAATACCATCTTTGTATGGGGGGAGATTGCATTAATCACATAACTACTCAATGAAACAAGTAGTATTAATGTTTTAGATTAAAGGAGGTTTAAAAAATTGCCAAAAATAGTATCGAAAAAAATGCAAAAAATATTTTCAACGAAAAATTGGTTTTAATTTGTTTAGATCCAAACGCAATTAAAATTGTTTAGCCATTAGATTTCATCTAGTATATCATTCCACTCTTTTTGTATCCTACGCTATACATATACATATACATATACATATACAAATAGGCATATTCTTTTACATTAAAGAATACTTTAATGGACACTGTTCTTGTGAACAAACGAACTGTTCAAAGGGAACAAAATTGTTCGTGATCGATGGTTTAAATATTCAATCACGCCATTAATGAACGATGTCTAGGACTAGAAAACAAAAACAATAGTTAATTTAATTGAATGAACAACTTTAAGAAATTATTAAAATTTGCACTTTTCAAGTTTTCTTCCACATTGTTATTCTTATGATGAAGGTTTCAAGGGTACCGTTGTGAATCGTGCCATTTGAAATGTAAGTCGCTTAAAATTGCGCCTAGTCTTTTATAACATTTTTCAAAATCCATTTTATGGAAAATATAGGACAACTTTTTAGAACGCAAGAAAATAAAACGTTTAATAAATGGAAAACACATTTCTGATGTTTTCGTTATTATTTTTTATCATGTTTTTGTAACATATCGATTGCAAAAGCTTTGACAGTCCGGCCCATCGTCAGGACAAAATCAAGTGAGGTTCCAACTTGTCGTGATTTATAGGACCCATTTGTCAGCTGTTCTAAACAAATTGTCAAACGTAAATCAGCAAAAACAGAAAAATACGCAAAAGCTTTTTTCTTGAGATATGATTCATAATTTGCTAAAAAGGTTCACTGATTCCCATATTTATATCTCGCACTTTATACTGTTTATATACAGGGTGTCCCAATATTTAGCTGATATACCGAGGGTATCCCAATATTTAGCTGATATACAGGGTGTCCCAATATTTAGCTGATATACAGGGTGTCCCAATATTTAGCTGATATACAAGGTGTCCCCAATATTTAGCTGATATACAAGGGGTTCCACTGGTACTTCAACCTAGTAAACATATATCAAACCTAGGTCTTGTATAGTTTAGCTAGTACTTAAACCTAGTAAACATATATTAAACCTAGCTCCAGTCTGTAGTTCAGCTGGTACTTCAACCTAGTAAATATACATCAAGCCTAGCTCCAGTCTGTAGTTCAGTTGGTACTTCAAACTATATAACAACATCTATTAATGTATATACGAAGATATAATTACTTATATCAATATAAAATAGAAAACAGAAATATATGTTACACCCAAAAGTAAAAATCCAAAACATCCAAAAAAGGATCATAACAGAATATAAATCTATCTATTGATGTAGTATACAAATAAGCAGATATCAAACATTAAGCCTATAGTTTGTCTCAAATGTAGGTAGATAGATATATGTTAGGTCACACAAAAAAATTGACCCGATCGGTTCAGCCGTTTTGACTTTTATTGGTCACAAACATATAAATGAACAGTCTAGCAAAGTTTATGTACAGATTACAGATACATAGAATGAGACAGTATTGTTGACCATAAATACAACTTCTAAAAAACCACTCCCTCTCGTAAGTCATCTTTACCAAAACCTCCCTCGGAGAAAAACCAAACCAAAGCAAGTCTCCATTCAAATTTATCTATAATCTCTGACAAAGGAATAACAAACAGTGAAACATTTTTTAAGTGAAAGATCAAATCCATAAATAACTTTGCAAGCAATAATTAATTCCACTTAACCCTATCCCCGCTGGGGTACTTGAAAACCAGAATACGCTGGGGGGGGGTCAATTTGACCCCCCCCCTCTAAATCCCATGTTTTATGTCCAAATATGACAAATGATTCATCATTAGAAAGCTCTTGTGCTCTACTTTTATAATCTGCAAAAAAATTTGCAAATTTGCGAAAATTGAATTTTTTATCGCAAAATCCAGTTTTATAGTAAAAATGTTTGCAAAAAAAATTTGTCCAAAAAATGACAAATTATACATTTTTGAAAAGCCCTTGACCATGCCATTTCAAATATGCAAAAATTTTTGCAAAATTTTAAATAACCTGATTTTTAATCAAGAAAAACTAAAAATGTGCAAATTTCCTTTGACAGGTTGTTTGCAAAAAATTTGCAATTTTTTTTCGCAAAACTTGTGCAATCCGTTTCTTTATATCATAGGCTTTCCAAAAAGCTAAATTTTATCAAAATCTGACAAGTGAAAGTGGGTCAAAACAAAGATTTAGTTTGCTACAGGAAAAAGCAGTCATTCAGGCAGTGTGCCTGAGGACTCAGGCAGTTAGTATTAAAGCCCGGTTTTAGGCCTAAAGGGAGGGCTTTGGGTATGTAAGAAAAGTCAGAAAATTTCAACAGCCTCAGACCAATACTTTTTGAGTTATGTAAAAAAAAACTACAGGGGGGGTCAAATTGACCCCCCCCCCAGCGGGAATAGGGTTTAAAAAAACCGGGTTTTTATTTTATGGTGACATGTTCCGGACGTATAAATAATATTATCAATTATATTAAAACTGAAAAATTATGAAATTCAAATAATAATTAGGAGGAGACTTGAGTTTCTCAGGCTCCACAGGGATATCGTTGTTTTCAGATTGTATGCGTATTTCTTGAATGTGTTTAATACTACAAATCTTATACAAAATCTTACATAAATACGTTTTGGTATAATTTCTCGAGACAGGAACATCAGAACTCTTATATGTCTCAATCAACTCCTGAGATTCTCAGGTTTCAGCCTATACCCCCTTTCATTTTTCCTTTACAGTCTCTTTAGTTAATCAAAATTTTGGAAAAAACCATAAGATACCTTATATTTTCAAATATTTCAAATACAAGCCTAACAAAAAATTATTAATATAAAATATGCAAAATCTACATTTGAAACGTTCGGACTTAAACTAGATTTTTAACCAGGACCTTTAGTTTACTGTATGTGCTTAGTCTGAGCTAAGGCCCGAAATTACTAAAAATTATGGCATCTGTTTTTTTATTGATCAGATGAATGGTTTAAAGGTACCGTTGTGAATCGGACAATACCATCTTTGTATGGAGGGTCACTCTAAATTACGCCCGCAGTGCATTTATTAAAATGCAAAACTAGAAATTACGCCCATAGTTCCTTTATTAAATTGCAAAACTCTAAATTACGCCAGCAGTCCCTTTACTAAATTGCAAAACTAGAGATTACGCCCGCAGTTCCTTTATTAAATTACAAAATTCTAAATTACGACAGCAGTCCCTTTATTAAATTTCAAAACTCTGAATTACGACAGCAGTCCCTTTATTAAATTTCAAAACTCTAAATTACGACAGCAGTTCCTTTATTTAATTTCAAAACTCTAAATTACGACAGCAGTTCCTTTATTTAATTTCAAAACTCTAAATTACGACAGCAGTTCTTTAAATAAATTGCAAAGCACTCTATATAACGCCCATAGTCCCTTTTTTAAATTGCAAGACACTCTAAATTACGCCTGCAGTCCTTTTATTAAATTGCAAAACACTTTAAATTACGCCAGCAATCCCTTTATTAAATTGCAAAACTAGATATTACGCCCGCAGTCCCTTTATTAAATTGCTAAACTAGATATTACGCCAGCAGTCCTTTTATTAGATTGCAAAACTAGATATCACGCAAGCAGTAAATTATTAAATTGCATAACTAGATATTACGCCAGCAGTCCTTTTATTAAATTGCAAAACTCTAAATTACGCCAGCAGTCCCTTTATTAAATTGCTAAACTAGATATTACGCCAGCAGTCCCTTTATTAAATTGCAAAACTAGATATTACGCCCGCAGTCCCCTCATTAAATTTCAAAACTAGATATTACGCCAGCAGTTCCTTTATTAAATTTCAAAACTCTAAATTACGCCAGCAGTCCCTTTATTAAATTGCAAAACTCGAAATTACGCCAGCAGTCCCTTTATTAAATTGCTAAACTAGATATTAAGCCTGCAGTCCCTTTACTAAATTGCGAAACTCTAAATTACTCCCGCAGTCCCTTTACTATATAAATTGCAAAACGCTCTAAATTACGCCCGCAGTCCCTTTATTAAATTGCAAAACGCTCTAAACATCTAATTTTCAATAACAGTAAAACAGAGGGTTGATATAGATTCGGCGCTTTTACAACCGAGATTGTTTATTCGAAAGATAATTTCCCCCTCCCCTAACAAAAGTACTAGTTGCGCCACTGGCGTCCAGCCTATGATTATTTGTTAAGGATTTTTAAGATTGTAAACTGCTAGACTAAGGAATCTATCAAAATAAAATTCAAGAAAAATTATATGAAATCCAGTTAAAAGTGACAGTTAGCTAGCTAAAGAACAAGAAGAAGTTTGTTGCAAAGAAATTTTCACTTTTTGACAGCAAATGTTTATTAATAGAGGATTTAAAAGACAATCCAGCAAAGATTTCAGTATTATTTAAAATTTAATTTTTCCAGCATTTCGGCAGATCAAAGAACGGAATCCGCCGTAAAGATTCATTGCCAATAATTGGGATAAAATAATCATCAAAGTTTCTTAGATCATAAATATTTTGAAACTATCAGACTTCCAAAAGACACTGGACTATAATTTTTATCAATTGAATGCATAAACATAAGTTTCTGCTGCAAGGTTAGATCATGAAACGGAAGTATCTGAGGAAAGTAAAATAAATGCTTATTATGAGCGTTGAATTTAGATTGGGAGCATTCTTGAAGCATCAAAACCTCCACGTAATTTGGAATCAGTGAAAATGCACTTAAACGTTGGAAAACCTATTTAGCATAAAAATTCATCGCTTACGCTCGTCATGAAATGACATTAAAAAAAATCTCGAAAACACTTGAAATGTCAATTCCTTGTAAAGTCGTCAGTTCTGAGTCCTTCCTGGTAAATCCTTATTGTTAGCAAATAATTATATTTATTTAAATACTAAAAAATAATAAAAAATGCAAACTAAAAAATTGCCCCTTCACCCCCCATCCCTTCTAGACAATTAGAGGACTTTCTTCTACTTTCCCCCCTGGTTTATAAACAGTTATAGATTGGTTTAGTTGGAACCCGTACAGTTTACAATACATCAATCAATAGGAGCGGATGGTTATTAACTTTTCTTATCCATATATCTTTTCATCGAAATGGTTTTAACCGGTTTAGACCTTTGATTTTTCAAACGATAATTTTTTGGAATAGAAAATTTCAAAGTTTGAAATATGTATTTGACATTTGGTTCGTATGACATGAAATATTTGTGTTTCAGAGAATGTAAGTGATGGGAGGCTGCTGTTGTAAAATGGGATTTATCACAGGAAAATATTTTTAATCAGAGCTTTATATTCACAAAACTAAAGAACGAAACAGAGTCCGAATTTAATGAATTTAATGAATTTCAATTGAGCGCCTGCTTAAATCTTGAAACTTTGAATACATTTTTATGTGAAACCAAGCCTCGGCTAAAATTATTTAAATTCGGCCTCAGGAGAACTCACCTCGAACCCTTAACTTTGTTATTTTTGTAAAGGAATTGAGTCTTTCCCACAAACTTTGATTTTCTAATTCCTATATCCTTGCATTCCAATGTTGTAGACCTTAGATATTTCAAACTATGATTTCTGTTAGACTAAATAATCTAAGTTTGAAATTTCGAAAGTGTGCACCATCACGTTGCATAAAAATAGGAATTAGAAGCTTTGAGTTTGTGGCAAATAGTCAATTCCTTTATGATATTTTAAGTTTTAATGATTTGATCTAGCAGACTTTATAATTTGAATTATAAAATATTAATACAAGTTCCCAGTTTTTTTCTTTACAAAATTAAGATTTCATTTGAAGCAAAAATAACGTTTAATGTTTATGCACATAGGTATGGTATACCCTGTCACGTAAAACTAACTGCAACAAAGGGTATCGGAATTATTTTCGTAATATTTTGATCTCTCATTTAAAATCCGTCAAAAATTGTGAAAAGAACATTTATATATTCTTAAATGTTTGAATACATAGCCTAAAACAAGTTTAAAAGAACAAAAATTAAAATCTACATTGAATGGATCATGACTTGTAAATCACGTTTTTTTTTTCAAATCAAATCTGATAAAAACAAATTGAATAGGGGGGCCTAATGAGGCGATTGTTGTATCTGGATGCTTTCATAGCCGGCCGAAACTAGTGGTAACATCATTTACATTAAATTTGAATTTAAAATCGTTCAAGATTTTAAAAACAACTAACTGTATTGGAGGTCTGTTGATAGTTAAAAATAAGATTTCTTCTATACCAGTTGAAAATAAAAGTTGTTTGACAAAAATCCATGTTCTGTGCTTTTCAGTTTCAGATTTAAAAGTGTTATAGCTCTGAGTTCTAGAGGGGGGGGGGGGACCGCCCCCTTCCCCCCCCCTGTATATGCCATTGACAGTCCAGCTATATAGGCTTTCTGCAGGTTGACAGCTCAACCATTCTGAGCATTGTCCTCTTTTGGAACGTCACTTAAAATTACAACAGCCCCTTCAAAAATGATTTCTTTTAAAGGTTGGTGGTTGGGCTTTTGTTTGTCCATGCGTGCAGAAGATACAACGTCTCTCTTTGAATCTAATGACCCTTCAGGTAATTTTTAGTTTATTTTCTTAAGCATATACTCTAAAAAAAATTTCATTATTTTTAAGATTTGAGACATTTGAAACATCTGCTTTTTAAAACTTATGTTTTTTGTTTTATTTAAATTTTTGTCACTAGGTGTATACCCCTCGAGTTTACACTGTGCATGGTGTACCTCTCTCAGTCACCGGTATTGCTCAGGTAAACAGAGGTCAACATTTTTGGATCCCAAGCACATTCGTTTTGATCGTTAAAACAGCTGGTTACTCGTATTTTGGGTTTTTTAAACAGATTTCCATTTCGCTAAATTGCTCTGAATTGCGCTTAACTGTAGGGAAATTGCCTGCAACTACGCGGAATTGCGCGCAAGTGATTTCGCATTGCGCGGAAATGTGCGGAATTGCGCGGAAATTACATGGTCTGCAATTGCGCGCAAGTGAAATTCCCCCGCGTTGGAAACCCTACTCGTACTCACGTGATATCTAAATGACTAAGAACAGCATTTGTGATGTAGCTTTCAATTGGTCAGCAAATTCTTAGAGATTCTACTTTTATAATTTATATTTTCTAAAAAGAATTAATATTACATTGAGTTCCGACCTCTAATCACACAAATCGGAAGTAAAATCCTAATAAAGCTTTTAGACTTTAGATTGGTTAAAAAAAAGCATTTACCGGTATCCTAACTAATTCTTGTTACCATGTAGAGTATCTTTTTTAATATTGGCATGAAAAACGGTTTATTAAGTTGTGATTGATGTTTATTTTCAATTTAACTTTAAGAAAAATTTCTTTTTAATTGAACAATAAAAAAATCTGCTTGCTATTGGGATAAAAATGTCCCTTACTTATTTTTATCTATGTATGTTTATGTTTTGTCTGTCTGTCTGTCGACATCTATAATTCGATTTGAGATGAACGAATTTAAATTATAGAAAAATCCGCGAAAATTTGTCTTTTTGGAAGGCGGAGAATAAATGGTGACGTTAAGAGCAACAGAAACTATTTTAAAATGTTATTAGACTTTATCAAAATGAATAATTAACCTTCTCTCTAGGTCAAGATTGCAGCTAACAACGACGACATGCTCCGAGCTGCAGTGGAACAGTTTATTGGCAAAACAGACAAAGAAATAAAAGTGGGCCTTTTTTAAATCTTCATTTTACACCGATTTTTAAACAATGACATTCTGACCCAAAACTCTATGCGGATTTTCCGAAGTCCTAGAAATTATTGCTTTGCAATTGCAATACTTAAAATCTTTATATTCAGGGCTACAATAGAATATAAAGGTATCAAACACTTCAAAGTAAGCCCTCACTCCAAACTATGAATATAAAAATCCTAGTCACGTCACTCACAATAAAACTAGGCTGATATGTCGAATATCACTTTTTACGTGTCGTAAATTTAATGATTACTGTACTTGTTTTGTAAACATTAAACAAGAAATTCGTTTCAGAATCAAGTTTGACATTAAGTTCAATCTTAAAATTTTCTTCGAAAATTTTTTTATTCAATAACATAAAAACATTACATAAACTGAACACTATCTTCATGTTCGAATTTTCTAATCCTTATATTGCTACTATATTTTGTAGACCTTTGGATTTTCAAACTATGAATTCTTATTAAATAGTCAATGTATTTTAACAAGAAAAGGTGTAAATGTAAGCGTTATTTTAAGTCATTCTCAGCGCAAAGACAATGGCCGATTTACAAGATTTGACTTTTTATCGATGTTGAAAGATTTTAACTTTTAAAACGTAGTTATTGAAATTTTTTTTAAATAACAGCTTGCAAACTAAATATTTAGCAATTTAAAGCGTCTCATTTCAGTAGATTAATATATAGCTGTCCTACTCCTGCATGATTTCATCCTTCAGCAAACAAAGGTTTAAAGGGTACCGTTGTAAATTGGGAACACTCCTCTTTTAATGAAGGGTCACTTGAATGTGCGCTTTTAAATTCCCTTTAACACCAAGTTGATGAAGAGATATTTTAGAAAAAAAGCGTGAGACGAGAAATCATAGAGTTTCTTTGTGTCTCAGATTATAATGATAATTAACAATTTGAGTAAAAACAACTATTTTCCTAAACTTGAACCGAAGCTCAAGAGTAAAAGCTGAACTACATTTATGTGGTTCAACTACTGATTGCTATTTAGTCCCCGTTCATTAAATATTGTTTAGGAAATTGCCAGAATAACCCTAGAAGGACATCAGCGCGCTATTATGGGAGCATTGACAGGAAAAAGACAAAATAATGATGTCAAAAATTAGTTTTTGCTAATTTTATGGGTTGACTCTTTTAATCTTCAGAACCTTCAAGAATTGTTATTTTCTGTTTTATTTTATGATTTTACAAGAAAACTGTATAGTTTAGAAAAATAACGTTAAAGCAATATTAAAGTATACTTGATGTTGTTAAAAAGCAAATAGCTTTACTAGTAAGTTATAAATTCACTTATTTAATTACATATGGTTCTGTTCAAATTGCACAATTGCTGTACCTCATGTTCATTGGACTATTTAAAGTCATAACTTGAGTATAATTAAAAGTCGACTTCCTATTTCAAAGTTTTCTGGTTATCACTGTATAGTTTAAGATAAAAAATACCTTTTACTGTTTTTACACTTTTTTAACAAGTTAATCGTGATTACAATTGTCTATTTTTAACTCCAGTTGATGAGATATTTAAGGACAGGAAAAAGTTCTCTGAACAAGTGTTTGATGTTGCATCAACAGATCTAGTTAATATGGGAATACAGGTAGTGCATCAACAGATCTAGTTAATATGGGAATACAGGTAGTGCATCAACAGATCTAGTTAATATGGGAATACAGGTAGTGCATCAACAGATCTAGTTAATATGGGAATACAGGTAGTGCATCAACAGATCTAGTTAATATGGGAATACAGGTAGTGCATCAACAGATCTAGTTAATATGGGAATACAGGTATAGTGCATCAACAGATCTATTTAATATGGGAATACAGGTAGTGCATCAACAGATCTAGTTAATATGGGAATACAGGTAGTGCATCAACAGATCTAGTTAATATGGGAATACAGGTAGTGCGATAATTTGATCCCTTTTTCCGGATTTTTGGACTTTTTGAAGGTTCGACAAAAATCTGAGAATTTTTACTAATGTCAAAATTGTTCATTTTAAACATTCGCTTTTCTAACTCGATGCCATATTTTGTTCCCTAAAGAAATATATGCAAAAACTAACCAAAAAACAAACCTATAAAAGAACCAAAAACGAAACGAAAACGAATCAAAATCGAGCGGAAAACAAACTAAAAGCTGACAGCTTAAAAACGATTGTATTTTTTGTTCTTTTCTCTTTTTTTTCTTTTAGGATAAAAGTATTGCAAAGTTTAATCAAATCAATTTTTTAACGGGAGACATGTTTTGAAAAATTAGAAATTTTATTGAAAACTTTGGGTTCTTTACACGTATGGTAGACCACATTAAAAAAGTCTGTGATATTTGGTTCTTTTTGTTTTCAGACAGATGAATTTCTAAAGTTTTAAGTGTTATCATTAAACTAAAACTTTTTAAGTTATATTATTTTCTTTAAATTATAAAGTATTTTATTGTGCAAGATATATAGTTATAAATGGGGCTAATAGATTAATGTTGAAGGTTAGCTATTTACCTAGTTTACTGTACTAAATATACAGGACAGGAAATTAGTTACATTAATTTTATTTCCTTTACTTTACAGGATATAACATAGATTTTTTTCTCATATTATATCGTTTCCCTCTGCGATAATAAATAGATTTTATGTTCAGATTATAGTTTACTCTCAAGGGATATAAAAAAATATTTTTTCAGTTTATATTATAAAATAGATATTTTTCAGATTATATCGTTAACTCTCCGTATTATAAATTATATATTTTTTTCAGATTATAGTTTACTCTAAAGGAATTAGAAATACTTTTTTCTTCTTAGGTTGTATATAGTCTACTTTTAAGAATTTGAAACATATTTTTTTCAGGTTATAATCACAAAGGCTACAAAATAGATTTTTTTCATGTTATAATCTCAAAGGCTACAAAATAGATTTTTTTCAGGTTATATCGTTTACTCTCTGGGATATAAAATATATGTTTTCAGGTTATATCGTTCACTCTCCGGGATATAAAGGATGAGGAGAGTTATATGGAGAGTATGGGACAGGCAAGAACAAGTGAAGTTCTGAGAGATGCAAGGATTGGTAATTTTCACATTTATAATGAAAAAAAGCTTAAATCATTCTTGCACCAGTCATGCAGTTTTCTCTGATATTATTTTTTGTATCTTTTTTTTTCAAAAATGTACAAACTCTCTGATTTTTTTTGTGTAGATCTACACCACGTTCTGGCGTCTTATTGTAGGATTATTCATTCTTTTAAAAACGTTTTGCAAATTGTATTTTGATTTTGAAGAAATACTGGACGATTTTCTATCTTTTTTGATGTATTTTCATTTATTTCTTTACAAAAGGAAAACAAATCTTATTATCGCAGAACGTACCTTTGCCAGTAATGTATACATTTTATACCTATCAAACAAAGAATATTTATATCTTAGTTTATCCGAAACATTTTCACAAAAAAATTTAAAATATGTTTTTCAGGTGAGGCTGAGTGCACCAGAGATAGTCTAATTGATACAGCACTCTCTGAGGAATCAAGGTATTCATGCAAAATATTCTTTTCTATAAAATAAATATTTTTTTTGTAGGAATATATGTATATATAATTTATGTATATATATTTTGGTAATGCCAAAAAGTTGACATTAGTTGTTCTGTTTAAACTATCCAACAAATAATTCAAATTTTTTGTTTAGAATGGCAGCAAGACTTTTCAATGATACTCAAATTGAGAGATATAAAAGAGATTTCTTGTTGAAAAAGGTAGAGTTAAAATGTTTACTCTTTGTTTTTTTTAAGGGAGTGTTCGCGAAAAATGAAAAAGGGTATAGGCTTACGGCGAAACATAATCGCTTTTGATCGCTACTAATCTTACTTCTATCTGTTGCATCTATAAGGAGAAATTGTTAAAAACGACTTATACTGAAGAACGCAGCGTCCATACAAATTCAGAAAGTTGCAATATACGACTCGGATCGTAAAAAATCAATTTAATTTTGATTAAATCATTTAGATATTACAACTTATAGTCATTGATTATTTTTGTACGCATTCATATATAGTTAATATTTAACTAAAACTTTGCATTAAATGCACTCAAAACGCCGAAATAGTTGGCCGCCAGATATCTCAGCTTTTGATGTTTTGAGTGAATACACGTGGCAGAGACACCTAGCGAGAAAAAAGTCGTGTTAAATGCATAATATATAAAAGAAATAACAAATATTATGAAATATGAACTATATACGAATGCGTCGAAAACTAATCGATGACTTTAGGTTGTGATATAAGGATGATTTTTTTGAGGCTAAATTGATTATTTTACGATACGAGTCGTATATTGCAACTTTCTGAATTTTTTTTGACGCTAACTTGTTCTATTTTTGAATAAGTAAATCATTTTGTTTTGTTTTATTTCAGGCCGAGTATGATAAAGAAGTTGAAACAGCTAGAGCTGAAGCAGAACTGGCCTATAGACTTCAGGTATATTACAGTGAGAATCAGAAAACTATGGCATATAAAGAAGAATTTTAGACTCAAGTTATTACTTTAAGTCATTGAACATGAGTCACAGCAATTATGCAATGTAAACATACCTGTTTCACTTATTATGTGATTAATGGATAAGAACATCAAATACATGAATTTTAGTCTGATCTTTAGATTTAGATTTAGGTTGATCTTAAGATCTATCTTTAGATTAATAGATTGTTAGTAAAATTGGTCTTTAAATTGATATTAAGATTGATTTTTAAATAGATCTATAAGTTTATCTTTCAATTGAACTTTAAATTAATCTTTAGATTGAGACTTAGGTTAATCTTAAGATCGATCTTTAGGTTGATCTTTAGGTTGATCTTTAGGTTGATCTTTAGTTTGATCTTGAAAAATGAATTTAATAATATGTGTCACATGTTAATATTTGTCAAAATTTAAAATAATTATTTTTTGAATTTTTGAAGGCAGCAAAGATCCAGCAACGTATAGCAGAAGAGACTAAGAATATAGATATAGTTGAGAGACTAAAACAAATTGAGATTCAAGAACAAGAAATCCTCAGGTACAATCATCACTCACACATTTGTATTGTGAAAAGGAGTGACCGGCAACGTAGTTGAACTGAGAATGTACAATTGTTGAGAATTTTTTTAGGATTCATTTGAGACATATGTAACGTCTTAATGATTTATAATTACTGAGTTTGAGCGCAAATTCGACGTTCAAAATCTTCATTGGGGGTAACATTTAGAGAATCGATTTTTTTTTATTAAAATTATTAAATTTCGACGACAAAAAATTCTACAATTAACTAATAACATGTTAAGGAAATTTTCCTGATAAATCAATGTTAAAATCAATTATTTCTTTTTCATCATTATTTTGAATTTATTATTCTGTATGAGTTTGTTCGCAGATATCTTCAAATGTCGTCTTATTAATAAAAATTCCAGGAAATCTACAGAATATGTTTGTGAACAATGATACATTATAGAAACCAATAACTGAATAAGGTTACTTATTTTACTTATTTTAGGGGATAATAGTTCATTTTTGTTTTATCAACCTGTTCCTAAACAACTAATAAGTTTACTATGTAATTTTTAATACATTTTTCGTCGTCGTTATTTATTACTATTATTATTATTATTATTTAGGTTATGGCAATTGCAAACAGAACAAAGCTTATTGAGGAGGTAAAAATAGTCAATTTTTTTTCTTTCAATTTATGGTACTAAATTTTTCGAATTTATCTTCTTTAGAACAAAAGCAAGGCTCAGGAAATAACATAATGAAAATACCCCCCTAGTAAACAGAGCCTCTAGTTAGTGTTGAGTTTACTCCTATTTGCCGACGTCAAGAGGATTTTTAGTCAAGTTTCAGATTGGATTTAATCTTTGCAATAGTCTGTTTGGTATCGGAGCTAAATATCATTTTCCAGTCACATAACTGAAGATTTTCAACAATACAATAGTGTTTTCGTGACACCCTGTAAGCTAAAAATGAATTATTTAGGCGAATGCTGAGGCGGAGGCTATAGCATTGAAAGGAGATGCCGAGGCATTTGCTATATCCGTCAAGGGGAAGGCAGAAGCAGAGCAAATGGCTAAAAAGGCGGATGCATACGGAGAGTACAAAAAAGCGGCAAAGGTATAGGGCCGTAATTATTTCTTCAAGTGACCCATCATTTTAAAAGAGAAATATCTGATTCACAATCGGGTTTCTTTAAACATCTATCTGATAAACAAGAAAGAATCTTTTTCTCTTTTATATTTCTTGATTGTTTCTGTGTACAGAAATCGAAATTAAACTTAGCACTGTTTTTACCTAGAAATCATGTAAAAAAACTTTAAGTGACCAATTAAAGTATATGTTCAGTCTTTAAATGATTATTGATTATGATAATGTTTCATTTTCTTACTAAATTAAAGGATTCTTTTTTTTCCAATAATCATTGTTTTTATACAATAGTAAATATAAACAGTTTTTTCTCACATCTATAAAATGAAAGCATTTTCACAATTTCCTTCATTTTTTTCTTAAGAACGATCTTGAATACTCTTTAATGTTTAATGAATATTCAATGACATCTTATATTTATTATGATTTATTTTCTGTAAAATTATTGATACAAATTTTAATGTGCAGATTGCCATGTGGATGGAAGCTTTACCTGGCCTAGCAGCTGAAGTTGCTGCTCCTATCTCACAAACTAACTCCATTAAGTAAGTAAACAATAGCAGCTGAAGTTCCTCCAATTACAAAAACTAAGTATTTAACAGCAGCGGCTGAAATTGCTGCTCCTGTCTCAAAAACTAACTTCATGAAGTAAGTATTAATCAACAACAGGTGAAGTTGCTGCTCCTGTCTCACAAACTCATTTCTACTTAAGTAAGTAATAAGTATTAATTAACAACAGCTGAAGTTGCTGCTCCACTCACAAGCTAACTTAATTTGGAAAGTATTAAACAGTAGAAGCAAAAGTTGAGCGCCCTTTTCACAAACTAACTTATTTAAGTAAGAACTAATCAACAACAACTGAATTTGCTGCTCCTGTCTCGCAAACTAACTTCATTTGAAAACTAAATTTATTAAGAAAAGACTAAACAGTAGCAGCAAAAGATTCTGTTCCAATCTTAGAAACTTACTTCATCAAGAAAGTACTGTTCCTGTTTAAGAAACTAACTTCATTAAGAAAGTAGTAAAAAGTAGCTGCTCCTATCTTAAAAAATAACTTAATTCAGCGAGTATTAAACATTAACAGCTATCTATCTATATATATATATATATATATATATATATATATCTATTTATCGATATATTTATCTATCTAGGATGATAATGGACTGTGAGGGTAAGCCTGGGGAGACTGCCGGACCTGCTGCTTTAACAAAAGAGATATTAGGTAAACCAAAAAAACCAATTTTTTTTTAAATTTGATATCCTCCTATAAAGGCTCAGAGGCTATAGCCATAGTGTACCCAGTATGTGGTTGACCCTGACTATCTAGTGTACCCAGTATGTGGTTGACCCAGACCGTCTAGTGTACCCAGTATGTTGTTCACCCAGCCTGTCTAGTGTACCCAGTATGTGGTTGACCCGGCCCGTCTAGTGTACCCAGTATGTGGTTGACCCAGCCCGTCTAGTGTACCCAGTGTGTGTTTGACCCAGCCCGTCTCGTGTACCCAGAATGTCGTGGACCCAGCACGTTTTATGCAACAAAATCAGGCGGACGGCCACTATTGTACATTGGTTCTACCCTTTTGTCTAGGGTTTGATTTTGTATTCAGTTTTCAGTATTTTTTATAAAATAAAGCTCATTTATTTATATTTATATATATGTAAGCTATAGCTGGTCAAATAGCTGGACCAAATTTTATGGGAACCCATGGGTACGCCAGGGGTGACATAGGCTAAAAAATGATTATGTATAGTGAAACCCTTAATAACGAATACATCGGAAGAATTTATCAAATGTCGTCTTGACAATTTTTCAATGAGTTTTATACTATATTACGTAAATTTCAGTATTTGCGAAAATAAATAAATAGCCATGAAAATGCGGGAACAGTTATAAAGAGTTCCATATAATTATTTAATAAAAACTAAATATCTGCAACATTCCATTATCAGAAAGTGAAGAATACGACATTTGATAAAGTATTCGTTATTAAGGGTTTCACTGTAATTAAATCAAGAACTGTCCCTTTAAACTGTTCATCTTCTTTATGTATTTATAAACTATTTATTTCGTGTTTAGAAATTATGTGTTCGATCCCAGAGAAAGTAACAGAAGTGTCGGGCCTGCCAAGCTACCTTCTTCAAGATCTTAAAGTTCAATAAACTTAAGTCTTAAATTAAAGGCACTGTCGTTGTTCTTAAAATTTGATACATGTCCGACTTGTGCTGGTGCACTTTTTTGCTGAAGGGCAAACTCCAGATCGGACATAACTATTATATTATTATTGTTTGGCTTTCTTAAGAAAAGAGCATGACATCAATAAAAAAAAACATTGTAAAGTAAAACCCTTCAATGTGTGGAGTATAATGATGACTGTGAAACTCAAGTTTTGACTTAAAGTACTATAAACATGAAACTTAGTCATATATGCAGGGAACACAGTCCAATTTTATTAATTTTTTGATTTTCCAGAAATTGATGAGTTTATTTTTTTAACAGTATTACATAAATATCGTCATTTTCCATAGTATTATGGGCTCACTGTGCCATAAATATGTTATAATATTCTTTATATTTTGATTTATAAACTTTTTTTAACTGATCTATGTGTGCTTGTTTATAATTAGCTTTTATTTATTAAATATTATTATTGTTTTTAACTCAAATATTTCCTCAAATTAATTCATGTGGCCAACTAATGAAATGTTAATTATTTTACTGTTTTTTATATGTTGAAAATAAATAACTAAAGTAGTTTTTCAAAATTTGATTCAAACTGTAAATTGTCCAAACTGGCAAAAAAAGGTTTTACTCTCACAGGTAGAAAAACTCGGCTTTGGAAATTAAATTCGATATATTTTATATCCTCTTCAGTCCTACAGAAAATGACCAAAATTATTACAAATTAAAAATAAAGATAATGTAACAAATAACTTTCTAGAAATTTATAAAAAAGTAAGCAGACTCTTTTATATAAAAACAATGAAACACAATGAAAACAATGCTAACGATAGAGCTCATGGCAGCGCTCAGTTGACGAGTTTTTTGTTTAACGAAAAATCTTGAATTTTGAAATCGTGAACGAGCAGGAATAGTCGTTGTTAAAAAAAATGCGATTAATAAAAGATAATGAACGGTTATTTTTCAAGATAACAGCGAATTTTGTTAATATTTCAACTAAAAAATGCATGGAACTCACAAAGATGTGTAGAAACATATTTCTCAATAGAAATTTGTCAATGTTAGAATCGATTATTTCTTTTTTATCAGTTATTGATTTTCTTATTCTTTACGAATTTGTTTGCAGATTTCTTTAAATTCTTCGAATGTCCTGTTTCTAAACAACTCTTCAGTTTGCTGTAAAATTTTTGTTACATTTCTCGTGGTCGTTATAAAACAATTCAAAAAATCGATTTTCAAAATCATCACTCAAAAATGCAATTTCGATACTTCCTATAGCTTTTCCTGCAGTAGAAATGCGCAAGACAATTTTGTAGAAAAACCACAGCTTTTCAGGGTTTTCGTTGTGAATCAGGCATCACTAAGTCAGATTGAAATTTCGCTCACATTCCTTTTACAGAAATTAAATGCATCTAAAAATGTATACTTGTACTAAAAATGGATATGTTTATTTTTAATCAAGAAAATGGTATTTCTTAAAGAGTTTCATCGCTGCTGAAATACTGTAGAGTCTCTGAATCGCTCTCATAACTAAAATAATTGTAAAGATAAGTTTTTTGTGGGTTCGGGTTGAGAAATTTGTTAAACGTACATTCTTACAAAACGTTAAAAGAAATGCAATGTGTCCCACGAAACATGACAGTTTGTGAATAGTTTAAAATGTCTTCTTCCATAATTTGTTAAGTTGTTTGAAACCACAGAGAATTGTATATATATATTATATGGTGTCATATATATTGAATTTTATTGCAAAGTAAAATTGTTGACACAAATAAAAGAACAACAGGGATATTCGGTAACTTTATTGAATAATAGCATGAAATGAGAAATAAAAGCAAAGTTTAAAAATATTGGCCCTTAATTGGGAGTATCTAAACGTTTGAAAATGAAATAACATTGATTAATAGTGTTGAAAGGAATGGAACAGTTGGAGCTTCATGATGGTCAGCTCACAGGTGTCAGCATCTTGGTGACATTCTAAACTATTCTCATGTTTCGTGGTGGGACACCCTGTACAGTGTACATGACATTCTAAACTATTCTCATGTTTCGAGGTGGGACACCCTGTACAGTGTACATGACATCTTATGAATTTCCCATCGCTTAAAAGTGCAGCTTTTGTTGAGGTTTGCAACAAATTTTGTAATTTTCATCAAAACTCAAGGCTATGTCATATGTTATTGCCTTATTGAGACTTGATAAACGACTTTACATTGTACAGTGTAAAAAAAACAGTAATCAGTATTTACTTAAACTCATGTAGTTTATATTCGAAACTGTAAACCTTATTTCCTTTCCATCTCATTTAAAATAAAGAACTGTCAAATTTCAGATCGCCTTACCTTCAATGGAAAATAATAAAAAATGAAAAGCGGCAAAAACTTTTTTACATCTTCTTGTTCAGAAATTAAGTCCTCATCTTTTGCCTGAACCAATTCTTCAGAAACTACGCAATTTTGTAAATTCCAAGACGACCTTTGAAATAAATTCAAAAGACGACATTCACCTGAAATGTTGCAAAACATGTTGTTCAAATTCTTCCTCTGCAACATCCATAGGAAACCCTGCCTCACACATTGGACACACCTACTCAATGCAATAGATCAAATATGATTTGAACCATGAGCAGGAGCAAGATTTAGGACCCCCCTACATCCATACTTTAAAGTCGACTTTTTAAGCTTGAATATTTAGTTTTTTGCGATTTCAAAGTTAACAAGTAAACACAGAGAACGGTTTATTTGATAGTTTTGTTTTGTTTCTATTTTTATAATTATCAAATTGATAAAAGATGATATTCAAGTCATCTCTCTATTCATTAAAAATAGATGATTCATTTGATGTACTGAATCGATTTGCCTTTTAATACTGTACAACTGCTGCTTCAAGCTGCTTACAGGTCAGTGCAGTAATTTAAATGAACCTGAATTTACTGTGAATTGTTATGATTAATTAAACACCCTGTGTTTATCTACAGTGAATATAAGAAAACAACGAAATAGAAAGACGGCTTTAAAGTTTAAAGCAAAACTGAACTCGATGTTGTTACAAAGCAAATAGTTTCATTAGACACTTATAAAATCACTCTTTAAGTAAAATGTTTCTTTTTACACTGCAAAATTGCTCTGTCACATTTGCTTCTTGGACTATTTAAAGTCATAACTTTAGTCTTAAAGTCGACTTCCTATTTCAAAGATGTCTGGTGATCGCTATTGATAACATTGACGACCTTGTTATTAATACTGATGCTTGTAAGCGCTCTATCCTGTTCTGACTGGAAGCTGCTGGATTTAGAGCTGTTGTTGTTCTGGCTGCTTCTACTTCGCAGCTCCGCCATAATCTTGAGAGCAGCGACCATACTTCCTCGTTGTACAACAACCTGACGTTTTATCTGCTCCATTCTTCGTACACCTTAGACCACAATTTATTAAAAAGAACAGCAGTAGTTGAACTACGTAGATTAAGTTGAACCACTTCAAGTTTAAGAGAAGTTGTTTAAACTTGATCAGTATAGTTCCTTTACCATTAAATATAAATGTACAGTTAATTATTTATATTTGCATTATAAATAAAAAAAATAAATATTTACATTCACATACAGGGTGTCCCACGAAACATGACAGTTGGTAAATTATTTTGAATGTTGTCTTCTAGACACTGTATCGTATCAGATAATAAAGGCTTTATGCAGTTTATTTCGTTAAGACCTCTTTTTCTCAAATATATTTCATACTTTGAAATGAAGTGTACTATAATAATATAATAATTTTATTATTGTCTTTGGTATTAAACAATAAAACAAATTATAGAAGAAGACATTCTAAAATATTTACACCCTGTATGTAAATTCAAACCAATGCATTTACAACTGTACTTAAAACAGTAGATTTACACCTCTGTATGTACATAAATCCTTGTACAATTACTCAATTGTACATATAAACCTGTAAATATTTTCACCTTGACCTTTACGCCTGTACTTTTACAACATTGCAAGTACATTTATGCATCTAAACCTGTAATTTCAAACATTTATAATTACACGCTTATACATTCAAAGATGTACATTAAGGTGTCCAAAAATTATTACTATAATTTAAAAATGGCACGTGGGACTTGTGACCTTTTCCATTACAGTATATACTGTGAGTAATTTCTGAACATTCTAGGTCGATACCTCTTGAAATTTCATGAAATCATGATTTTACATATCAATTTCTTCGTTTTTTATCAAGGAACTCGGATCCGTTGAAATGTTTGAAAAAATGTTAAAAATAAATGAGTTAGGTCCAAAAACCGTCTAAATTGCTCGTTTTTTTAAAAAATATACTTTTTAGCAGTTTTTTATAAATATCTCAGTCGATTTTTGAAATTTCAACGGAATTTATCTTTTTGTACAATCACGAAGAAAATGACATGTGCCAAAATTCAAGAAAAAAAATATTTTGGAGCTTTGTAGGTCTTTTTCAACCTTTAGCAGCGATTATATCCTGAGTTTTAGAGATATTGATATTTTTACAAATTGATTTAGTTTTAACAAAAATCCTATTATCGTTTCTTTCTCAATAATAAATATATATACTTTGTTTGTTTGTCTGTCCAATAAAAGACGAAACGGCCCAAATTTTGTGTGGGGCCTGACAGGACCCCAGTGAAGGTTTATGGTTGATCAAAGTTTCAAAAATTAACCTCCAACAAAATTTTAAAAGAGGATACAACTCGCACAAATCTAGAGCAAGCTCTAAAACAAAATATTGTCATTTAATTCTTAAAAAATAAAACAAAACTTAATTACTTTTAACGTTTAACATGTTTATGTCTAGGGTTACCTATTACCTAAACTAAATGGTACTGCTGGAAATGAATCTCCTGGAAGTTGAAGAACTAAATCACTCGTCTCACTTTCAGGTCCACTTCTGGAATAAACAATTCTATGATTAAATGTTGCCTTGAACAGACAAGGATTTTTATCATTATTTAAAAATTGAAAAACTTCCATTGGCAATTTTTTTGAAAATCCTTTTGAGGCCCTTATGCAAATATGCTAATGTCCTATTACAAAAGTACTCTTAAAAGCTTTTTCAGGTCAAGTATAATGAATTATAAATCAATGTTTTTGTTTCTCTAAACCTTAAATTGTTTATTTTCAGTTTCAGTTTCTCTGCAGAAGAGACTCAAAGAAATGAACACTTTTAGAGTCAGAAAAACGACATTATCTTCCACATTTTTTTTCAGAGGTTTCAAGGGTATTGTTTTAAAAAGGCATTGCCATCTTTGCAGGAAGATGCACTTAAAATTTCGCATACAATTTATTAACAATGTTAAAAAATATTATTTGCGAAAAATTTCATCGAAATTTTTAAAAACTTTTAAAATCAAAGTTAAATGCTTTTGCAACCAAAAAAATCCCGACTTTTGGCCTAAACAGATTTTGTGTTGTTAACGAACATTTTTTTCTTCAGTTAATTACCTGTTATATCTGCTAGATATCAGACTGGAGGTATATGTTTCCTGAATAAAGATACCTTACATCCTTTATTTCACATACATATCTTTTGTCTAGCAGAATGATCGTTCGTTAAGTAAAATGGTTTGTTTAATAAAAACATGGGTCCAGTAAAAATCTCAACAAAAAAAAAGTTTTTCTAAATTGTTCTAAAAAGTCGGGTGTTAAGTACTAGATCTAGCAGTTTACAAAGGTTAAAATATCAGGTTACAATAATAAAGTATTTTAAAACTATAGCTGGTGGCAAGTATTTAGTTTCTTTGTTTTACAAAGGAATTGAGCCTTTGTCAAAACCCAAAATTTGCTAATCCCTATATCTTTGCAACCTAATGACGTAAGCAGTTGATATTTCAAACTTATATTATTTTATCTAATAGAATTCAAAGTTTTAAATATCTACAACAATGGGTTGCAAAGTTATTGGAATGAGAAAATCAGAGTTTATGGCAAAGACTTAATTGCTTGATTACCTGAACCCTATTTAGTTTATCGGTTGTGGTGGCAAGTTCTGCGGTTAATTGTGTATTTTTCTCCTTTAAACATAAGCTATTAATCTTGAAAGGGTGGGGGTGGGGGGGGGGTCGAAATCTACTTATACTTTTAATCTTAAAACTTTCATAGATTACAAATAAAAAAAAACCATTTAAACATGATTATAAATTATAAATTACCATTCAACAAATTATATATTTTGCAATTGTGCAAGAAAAAAAATGTTTTGGAAAAGGCTTGAAAGAGAAGGGACAAAGATCATAAACATGAAAGATCATTATTCATTGTCATCTTTAAATTGGAATTGAGTTTTTGCCACAAACTCAAATCGTCTAATTCCCATATTTCTGTAACCTGAGGGTGTAAACCTTTTGTTTTTCAAATTTACATTAATTGATCTGCCAGAATTTATAGTTTGAAATATCTAAATTAAACAAGATTGGGGTTGCAAAGATATAAAGATTTTAAAATGAACGTTTGTGACAATATAGGTTATCCACAAAGAGACAAAATTCGTTTTAAAAAAACTTGTGAAATAGAAAGTCGACTATTAGACTTATAATTAACACTTCTAAATGGTCTAATTAACATGAAATACAGAAATTGTGAATTTCACTAAAAAAGTAAATTTTCAAGGTAAAACAAGTTGTTTAACAATATCGAGTTTACTTCACTGCAAACTAGAAACCAAAGTAAAATGTGTTCACAATAACGACTTTTTGACCTTGCAGCTACTCTATTTTTGACTTGAAAGTATGAGAATAACAAACTCATTCACTTTCATATTAGAAATTTAAAACGATTTTGTTCATATCAAAAAAAAATTCTTTTATAATTAAAATTATTTCTTAGTTATCTGGGTCCCATGATTTGAGATTCAAAACTCAGAACTGTCCATTTTTAATATGAGCTTAGTGTTTCCTGCAGTTTTAGATTTTCTTGTCTGAGTTGGATTAGTTCGTCCATCATTGAACTAGAAAATATTAACAATTAAAGGAATAGTAAGCGTAAATTCAAATGACAGGATGACAATGCCTGATTCACAATGGTACCTTTAAAATCTTTGTTTGATCAAGTATTCGAGTTCATTTATAATTAAATTTTTTTTTCAATTGTAGAACTCTACTTAGTGACTCGAGCATTGCTACTGCAGGAAAAATTATTAGAACTTAGAATTCTTAAAACCCAGAAAAACGGCAATATTTTCCAATTATACATCCGCTAAAGGTTTTATGGGTACCGTTTTTTTTATATTTGGCGTTGCCATGCATTGAATATCACTTGAATTTACGCTTACAGTCCCTTTAGAACAAATTCGATTAATTGCAATATAAGAAAGTAGATTTTAAAATTAATTAAACAAAGAATTAGCTAGGCAGGTAAAGCCAAATATTTATAAATATATATATGGCACCACTTTTTGTTTCCAATAAACGTTAAAACGGTTGAACCGATTGGCTTAAAAATGTTCTAGTGACCCAAAAAAGGAAAATTTTACTGCCCAACTTTATTTGAAATGTGTTACCCCTGAATAAAGTTTTTAAACTTGTTTGGCGGTAACCACAAAAACTGAGAGCGAATAATTTTTTTTTTAAATCTGATAAATTTAAAATAACCATATTTGATTGTATTGTTCTATATATATATATAGTATATTGGGGGGATGTTGTAAAACTTAAAGGCCTGGGGCCTAGTATTCGTGGTTTTAAAAGAATTTGGCAATAGTATTCAATCAAATAAAATCCCAATACTTCTGTATTTTTGACTATATAGTAAAACAACTTGAATTAAAATATAATTCAGGAGACTGAATTATTCAATAAAGTATGCATTTATTGCAATAGCGTACACAAGGGGGGGGGGAATAGTCCTCTTGCCCCCCTCAGCATGCCCCTGAGATTTTTGGGCAAAGGTTAAAATCAGGAGTGTTAGGTAAAAAATGAGCTTGCCCCAATCGGAAAAAGAGGTATTCAATATTAAAAAACATATCAAAATCAATACCTCGATTTCGCCATCCTACTTTGTATGACAATATCAGAAAAAAATCAGATCTGAAAAATAAAAACTTCTGATTTGATCATACTCGAGCTCTAAATTAAACATCTGATTCAAATAAAATATTCATATTTGTCCCAATATTTTATTGTGTGCAGAAATATGATAATTTCGGGGTCAATTTTACCAGTCACGGTGCCGCAGCCAGCATATAGTTCAATGTTTGATTTATTTGGTTAGACCGCACCTTTAGTACTTTCAGTAAATGCAGGGTGTTTCACAATATACACACCTTTACTACTTTTAGTAAATACAGGGTGTTTCATAATATACACACCTTTAGTACTTTCAGTAAATGCAGGGTGTTTCATTATATACACACCTTTAGTAATTTTAGTAAATACACCCCGTTTCAGAATATACACACCTTTAGTACTTTTAGAAAATACAGGGTGTTTCGGAATATATACACCTTGTACTTTCAGTAAATACCGGGTGTTACATAATATACACACCTTTAGTATGTTTAGTAAATACACCCCGATTCAGAATATATACACCTCTAGTACTTTCAGTAAATACCGGGTGTTCCAGAATACACACCTTTACTACTGTTTAACAAATACAGGTTGTTTCAGAATATACACACCAATAGTATTTTTAGTAAAGACAGGGTGATTCAGAATATATACACGTTTAGTACTTTCAGTAAATATGGGGTGTTTCAGAATAAACACACCTTTTGTACTTTCAGTAAATGCAGGGTGTTTCCGAATATACACATCACTAGTACATTCAGTAAATACAGGGTGTTCCAGAAAATACACACCAGTGGTACCTTTAGTAAATACAGGGTGTTTCAGAATATACACATCACTAGCACTTTCTGTAAATACAGGGTGTTTCAGGATTTACACAACATTCAGTAACAAGGATGTATACACAATATGTATACTATACAGTGGTCGGCGTTTATACCAATACAATAAAGACGATTTTTCTATTTAAGTTTTGATTTCTGACCAACCTTTTCCAAATTACAACTTTATCAGTAAACCTAAAGAAGCTGTTAATTGACAGCTTCTTTTAGTTTCCATATTTACGAGAAGCCATGTGTTTGAAAGCTTGGTAGAAATCAAAATTGAAATCAAAATCCGTATTGTTTTCGAAACGAATATTTGACTTGTCTGTTTGTTTGTCTGTTCATATTTCATAACGCCACAAACTAAGAAACCGATCAAGTCTTAAAATTTTGATTTGTTAATTAAAACCAATCCGCAATTAAATACAGAGAAAAATCTTTTAAATTCTTAAAAAAAGAAATAACAGACCAAATCTGCCAAAAATTATATCACTTATAAATAAACTTGTTTAAGATATTGATTACTAACCATTTGGTATAAAATTCACTTTTATTTAAATTTATGTTTTAGTGTACAATGTAACACAGTTTACTATAATACGAAACTACTTGAGTTTACTACCTGCATTTCCGATTACTACACTTTCTTCCTCTGTATCTATCTATCTAACTAATTACATATTCTTCTATCTATCTATCTACTTATCTATCTATCGTTCTATCTATCTATTTGTGATTTATCTCTTTAATGAATAAATATACGTATATGAGAATGTATATCTATGTAGTTGGTATCTATGCGCGTTATTATTATAAAAGCATGCCTGCTTTAACTATCTCTCTATTTAGCTATCTATCTATCTTTCTATTAAAAATAACGTTTGTTTCACCTGCGCTCTTATATATACTATCCTTACGACGCTTGTGTCGCCTTGACAAATATTTAAACCAAGGAAAATATACAGAAGCTTAATTACATATTTGTGTGTGCAAAGTATACTGCAATTATATTCTAGGTGGTGTTTAAATAAAAAAACTCAGTATGCATTCTCCTATAAAACTTCAGTTTTTAAATTTTAAAACATGCTTATTTTCTTTATTCTGAAGACTGTTTCTAGCTGTAGTAATCGAAAACAACTGGAAATACTTACATTTACAATCCCTTCCATCCTTCTCCCTTCCCCTCCCCCCTTTCTGAGATGGATTTGAAGTAAAATCAATAAATAAAATATAATAAAACAAGTATTATTAAGATTATATCATTTAGTTTGTATGTAGTAAATGGCTTACTCGTAAAACTGCTTTCAGACCCGTATCAATTTCAAGGTACAGCTCGTAAACTATCAATGCCAAACGCAGGCATGATCTCATAGGCTTCAATGTCAACATGGACACAAGCTTGTAACTATCAATGCCAGACCAATGGGCACAATCTCATAGGCTTTAATGTCAACATGGACACAAGCTTGTAGCTATCAATGCCAGACCAATGGGCACAATCTCAAAGGCTTCAATGTCAATACGAACACAAGAAAGTAACTATCAATGCCAAACCAAAGGGTACAATCTCATAGGCTTTAATATGTCAACACGGAGACAAGCATGTAAACTATTAATGCCAAACCAATGGGAACAATCTCGTCAGGATTAGGGCGGATATATATAAGCATACTTAAGCTAAACACAATACCGGTTTTGACGCATTTACAGATGTAGCAAGGCTAGGTTAATGGCAATACAAGTTTTGCGTAGTTAATGATAAGCGCATTTAGATTTAAAAACTATGTACAGCTTCATATATCTTATAGGTATGTTTAGGTTAACAAATATGGGGATTGTTACAATATTTGCTAAAGGAGTTGAGTCTTTGCAACAAACTCGAATTTTCTAATCCCTATATCTGTACAACCTGACAGTCCATACCTATGACATTTCAAACTTAGATTATTTGATCTAACAGAATTTACAGTTTGAAATATATAAGGTTTACGGCATTGGATTGCAAAGATATTAAGATTAGAACATCAAAATTTGTGGCAAAAACTCAATTCCTTTATACGTCCTTTGGAGACTTTTAAGCAGTTTGTATCTAATTTTAAAACCTTTTCCTTGATCACATCTAGATTCTAGTTAAAACTACAACATTTTTGTATCTCCCGGGGACAATTGACTTTAAAGCGTCATAACACCTCTTATACGTTGCCCTAGACATTAAATGGTTAAGACTCATAGAAATACATAGAAATATAATATTATAGATTGTGCCAGTTGTTCTCTTCCTTTATTAATATTGTTTACTACGAGTCATTAATCAAGCAAGCTTAAATGTCAATGGACCTACAGTTCAATTGAACGATCAAAATTCAACCTGAACAGAACCTTTTGGAAGACTCAAGAAGAGCAATTAGCGGCATAAGACAAATTAATTTAATTGAATTGTTATTCTGTTAGAAATTTTAATCTAGATGGATCTTAGTTCTTCCTGCGCTGCTAGCTGAAGAGCCTGGCGTTGCCCATGGAATTTAAAACATTTTGGGTAAAAAGCAATTTAGAATTTGTTTAGCCTGTACATCACCCCTTAGGCACTAGTTGGTTCTCTAAAAAAATGGGACAGCAGTTTGGCCAACTATAGGAAACATCAAAGTATTTACGTGATATAGATTTAAAATATTTCGACAGTTTAGATTTATCAAAATGTACAATTTACAATCTCTTTACAGGACTGTTCTTGCAATTTTAAGAGTATTCTCCCGTTTAAAGATTAGCATCCCGATTTACAAAGGTACCCTTTAAAAGCCTTAATCTGTTTATTAATAAAAAAATATTGTTTATTTGTTCTCTTTTTTTCTGAAGCAGTAATTTGCAACTCACTTAATAGATTCCCCAAAAATTTTGATAATCAATTATCAAAAAAAAGACATAATGGATGCATAATGCAATCTTGATCCTTTTAAGGATACTATTATGAATTTTAGGGACCACTCTTTAAACGGAAAAACATCTAAAATTACTTCTACAGTTTTAAAACACATGAAGAGTTTTCATTAATAAAACAAATTATTTATTAAAGATTTTAGTATTTGCAAAAAACTCTGATTTTCTAATCTGATCATAGACCTTTGATGTTTCAAACTATGAAATCTGTTAGATAAAAATAATCTAAGTTTGAAATATCATAGGTTTACACCGTAAGGTTGCAGAGATATAGGGATTAGCACATATGAGTGTGTGACAAAAACACAATTCCTTTCCTTTGATATTTAAAATTTTTAATCAATTGTTTCTTGTGAGTGTGTAACTATTCTCAACACCTTTGGTGCTTAAATGAAAACAAGGCACATGATAAAGTAAAATGACGCTCACTTATGTTTCCATTAAAATTTGACAATATAAAGTCAGATATAAACAGGTTAAATTAAACACTGGCTTCAGACAGTTCATTCGAATTATGCTTCTGCATTTAAAAATTAATGTTGAATTTAAAAATTTATTACAATATACGCTATTAACTATTTACAAACGCTAAAATGCGAATTCTTAGTTTTTCTTATTGCTTTCAGCCTGAGTGCTGGGAAGTTTTCTCTTGTTATCTTCCTTGAGAGCATCAGTATTCTCAGCAACAAATCCACCGGTTGCGATAACATCATCGCTCTCAGTGGTAGGTTCCTCGGTGGTCACATCACGGAACTCAGCATCCTCAGTGGTAGCATCAACCTCAGCCTCAGTGGTGGTTGCATTAGAATCACTGGACTCATCAGAATCTTCAGATTCATCAGAAGTATCCTCTGCAGATTCATCCTCTTCATGATCATCAGAAAGATTTTCTTCTCCTGCTTTCACAACCTTATGGACTTTCTTCTGGTTAGTTTCCCTCAGAACAAACTTGGGATCCTCAGACTCAGCCCTGCTGTTTCTCTTGTTTCCAACAACTTTCTTTTCACTCTCATCTTCATCTTCATCTTCGGCCTTCTCCTCGCTATCTTCCTCACTTTCAACCTTCTCCTCCTTTTCCTCAGAATCCTCTCCAAGAATATGTTTGTTGATCAGACTCTTAACATGGTCAGCAGCTCCCTTTGCAGCTTCCATAACATCTTCAACTGCCTCCTCAACGGCGGCCACAAAGGTGTTGTTTCCTGCTCTGGTGTTGTTGCTCTCCATGGTGCTGTTTGCCATTCTCTCAACTTCTCCATCAATCTCCAGATCTTCTATAAGTCCACTAGTTGTGGTCTCAGTGTCAGCTACTTCTGTAGTGGTAGTTTCTTCATTTGCTCTATAAAAAGAAACATTTTAAAAACCTCTATAAATAAATCAATCATCAAATGTTTTTCTAAGATAACTCACAGTTATAAAAAAAAATCAAATAACCTGGCTAATGGAGATTTCTTTAAACCGTTCTGAAAAAAATATAATATTATTAATTTAATTTACTTATTTTTAAAGTCTAAAAATTTATAAAAATTAATCTTAAAATACAAACCGGCATGCTGTGAACGCCAGTAACAGCCAGACACGCTAGGGTGATCAACATTAACTTCATTCTAAAAATTGGAAAATTATCAGCCGATGAAAATGCAAAAAGAAGAGAATAATGAAATAAATAAATGAAATAAAATATTGAGAAATATTAATCAAATTCATGAAACACTATGTTTTGTATTTCTTCTTATTCTAATAGCGAGTTTAATATTTCTTCATTTTTCAATTTGATTTTTTAAAATTTGATGTTTTGTATTTCTACTTCTATGATTGATTTTTAAAAAAAAATTTTCTAGTTTTTATGTTTTATGATTCTACTTTATTTAATGTCCTTTACTTCTTGTATTTGTGCTTTTATATTTGCATTTAATTTTTTGTAATTCAACATTTTGTGATGTTAGTAAATTTAACTTTGTAATGTATCTTTTGATAATGTTAAGTTTTTTAATTGTAATTTAATATTTCTACTATGGTATTTCTACTCCTTGTTACGTTTTAATGATTTTTCTAATGATGTGTTTTTTCTGCGTTAAGTGTTTTAAAAGCATTGAACAAAATTTACATAAACTTAAAAACTTTTTAAAATTTAATATTTTCAACAATTAGTTTAATTTACTGAGCTGAATATATCAAAATTTGCTACTAAGTATGCGTGTATTTTACTAGAAACAAAAAACTCACTAAGACCAAGAAAAGTTGCAAACCTTAATTATGAAAAAAAGGAAAATTCCATAAAATGGACTGAATTTGGTTTATTCCTCTCTGTATGGTTTACCTGTTGCTTGCTGGATTGCTTTTCTCAAGATACGCTGAAAATCCATGCCGTTCTTTTTTATACCAACCGGGCTATCAGTGTCATTCAACCTCATAATATTTTTTACAAAAATAAGAAAAAATTTCAACGCTTTTTAATATTTTTCAAAAACTTAACAAAAATTTGAAGGAAAAAATGTTCATTGTAAGAGAAGAATTATCCCTGGTATGGTTGAGCGCTTTGGGAAAATACGAGAGAGCTCCATGAGCGCTTACAATAGGTAGATAGATAGATATTCAGATAGATGGATAGTAGATTAAGCGCATTTGGGCAGTTCTACGTGGGAGAGACGCCTCGTCCACATGAGCCTCTCTAATTTTCCATACAAAAACAAGCCTCATTACAGGATCAATTCTGAGCAAAAACTTGAATTATTTTTTACACGAAAAGGAAGTTACTATATGTATAGAACAGATACTGAATTGATTTTGATTTAACTTAACTTTAACTTTTAATCTTACATTTTAAGGAATACCTTTTTTAAAATAATGCCAAGTATAAAATAAACATTTTATTGAAAAATGTCGTTTGAAAAAAATCATCAACAATTTTTCCAAAAAAGAATCTTCCCATATAATCGTTCATTATTGTCATTCTCTTATACATGTTATCTTCTGATAAACATTTTTAAAATCAACTTTTTACAGAAAACAGTTTAGAGATGTTGAGACACTCTTTTTTATTATGTTTTTTGGATTTCCAAAAACCATTTTTGGATGTCACGTATCCCGGACTAATCAGGGCGAGACGCATTCGGTTTCTCGTATTTGAAATCAGTTGTCTGTTGTTCTATAATTCAACAACCTTTAAACTTACGGAGTTGTCTTTTTTTACTCTTTTATTTTAAACATAAAAAGTATAGAATAGAAAAGACAAACAAAAAATTTGTTTGATAGGCCAAACATTTTGATCGAAAGTCATAGTTATCCGGGATACGGGCCGAACCGTTAAATCTGCGTGGGCGGCCATGGTGTCCCTCCCTCGATACTACGCGCTCTAACAAAGAACTGAATCAGGTTTAAGATATAGAAGAAACTCAAGGAAAGCTAGAGTAGACAAATAAATTCTATTAACATTAAGACACTTTTTAAGCCCAGGTCTCAGTTATTAGACATTGGGTAACTGATCACTTGCCACAAAGTCTTCTTATACAAATATCTTTTGCAACCTAATAGTGTAAATCTTTGAAATTTTTAAATATTACTTAAAGATTTACCAGAATTCAAATATGTAACTAAATCAGGGGTCCATATAATTCCTTTTTCAATCCCATTTGGGATTGAAAATTTGGAAGAAATGGGGGCAATTTTTTTAAAAATAATAATTAAAAAAAAATTGGGGGCATTTTTTTTTATTTGGGGGCAAATGTGTTAGTGGAATTTGAAAATGTTTTTTAATTGGGGGCATTTTTTATAATTGGGGACAAATGGGGGCCCATGTGTTATGTGTTAGTGGAATTTGAAAATGTTTTTTTAAATTGGGGGCATTTTTTTACAATTGGGGGCATTTTTTTGTAAAAGTTGGTGGCTACAAATTTTTTTGGGATCGAGAAAATCAGCTATTTTGGGAATTATATGGACCCCTGACCTAAATCTAAATTAATAAATTCTTCTCATGATGTGTATTAAGTAGATTTAATATCCTACTTCAACCAAAAACAAAACGACGCCATTTAATAAGAAAATGTATTACCATTCCAATTTTTCACTTCTTCAAAATCTCAAATTAAAACTTGAAATAACTAGATAATGAAACAAGGTTGTGAGTAGGGTTTGCAGCTGTATTTTTTTATTTTTTTTTTTTGATGGATTTTCGCAAAAATTTACCATTTGCTTTTTTCAAATTCCGAATTATTTTGCGATATTTTCGCATTTTTTTGCGAAATTGTTGCATTCCTAATTTCGTGAAAATTTTGCATTTTTTCCGCAAAACAGATTGAATCGAAATTTCGCAAATAAAAGGCGAAAGTTTTTGCATTTTTCGCGAGCCAAAGAAATGGGATAAAATTGGAAATTTTCGCTAAACGATTTTTCCTCTTCGCTGCAAACCCTAATTGTTAGGGGCCTCTTTATTATCATTATATTCTGAGAATCATATTTGCATCATTTTCTAAATTACACATTATAACCAAAACGGGGAGACTTAAACATATCTATATAGTCTGCAATATCAATCTTCAATATCAACAATATCTACAATATCTACATTATCAACAATATAAGCAATATCAAACTTCAATATTAACAATATCTACAATATCTACAATATAAACAATATCAACAATATCTACACGACTACAGTATCTACAATATCAACAATATCAACAATATCAACAATATCAACAATATCAACAATATCAACAATATCAACAATATCAACAATATCAACAATATCAACAATATCTACAATATCAACAAATATCTACACGACTACAGTATCTACAATTGTGAACCATACCCCTAAAATTACCCTGTTGTAAGGTCGTCTTTGACAAACTGTACCCCCTGTTGGACCCTCCGTCCACTTACCAAACCAAACATTTTCAAGGCTTTCGCGTAATATAAACAAAAACCTCATGGAACTTAACGTGCATTAAAAGAACCAATTTAAACATAATTTTATAGTGAATCATTTACAAATAAACAGTAAAATTACTTTAACCAGTTAAATATTTATTTCAGAAGAATTAAATTGCTTTAGACTTCAGTTCAAACAACTTTTCGCCGTCCTACAGTTTTCTAGATTGTAAGTTCCGTATACTTAATTCACAACAATATCTTAAACCTTTTATTGGCCAATTCACAACAGTACCTTTTTAAACTTTTATTTATCGATTGACAACATTATTAAAATATGATTTTCCTAAACCTGCAAAACCTAGTTAAAAGTTAAAGATAAAGCAAAACCAAAAACTTATAATGGAATATGGGCGCCCTTGTGTAAAGAAATTAAGCAGAACGAATCTGTATGAAATACAATATTTAATGCTCTCAATATATTATGAAATATGTATATCGTTGGTAGCTAATAAATTAATAATATTAGATCTATAATATTTGCAACCTAATTGTATAAACCTTCGACATTTAATGCTTTATTATTTGATCAATCAGATTAAATAGTTTGAAATATCTAAGATCTACACCAGTGGGTTGCAAAGATATTGTGATTAGAAAGTTATAGCTTGTGGCAAAAACCCTGTTCTTTAGTATCTTATCCCCCCCCCCCCTCCTTCTTCCCATTCCTATCTCCATTTGTAAAACCATCATGGGAATCCCAATAGGAAAGCAATACTAGTCAACACGTGTTGTTATAGTAAAACTAAAATGAAACAAACATTTCAGTTTGTAAAATGTCGTTTTAGAAAGGACAGTGAACAAAAGTTCAAAGATGACAAAGATCTGGGTTTTGTTTAAAAATTGCTCTGTTAGAGTTAGATTTATGCAGCGGAGAGAATAGAGAAGGAAGGAAATTGGCAGAATTAAACATATCAAAAGATTGAAAAACACAATGAAACATTATTTTTTTTTGTTTTTCATTAAAAAAGGACTAAAGGTTAAAAAAAATGACAAACATACCTTATGTATTATATGTCATGCTTGTCATTATAATACACATAATACACATTAATACACATCTATAATACATTAAGTAAAATACCTATATAATGTTCAAAATATAAAGTAATTTTAGCGCAAGAACCCTGCATACTCAAAACCAAGTTAAGCCTATTCCCGTGGTTCTCCCGAGTTCCCCAATTAAAATTTGAGGCTATTTCGGTTTGGGGTTCATGAGTTCTGATTGGATATATACAAACAATCAAACAAACAAACAAAGATTTCTGCTTTGTATAAATAGATTATTATATTTGACAAATTTTGTTCCCATTCTCATTTTTACAACAGATTTAGGTTAAGGATAAACTTCAAGTTTCTTTCTGGAATCTTCTTTTTCAAACTTCGTTCGGCGCGGGGCGTATGCATGGTTGGTAGGCAGAGTAAACTGCGCAGTTAAGGAGAAGGGGGGGGGGATCGTTATTTCTTGCTGGGAGATACTTTACTCTGATACGAGTTTAAACAAGTAGAAACTTGATTTTCTAAGGAGAGTAAAACCAAACAAAAACTCGGCCTATTCCGGGAGACATGAAAAAAAACTTTCCATAGAGATGACGCAGAAAGAAAGACTGTTAAGGTTGGTCAACAAAGAATGAACCTATAACGATAACAGACCAGATTAAAGCTAGATGAAGTGCCCGGCGTTGCCCGTGAAAATATCGAATATTTAAAAAAAAGTTTTAATCAATTTTTAAACAAGAAAACAAAATTTCAATTTTTCAAGCCTTCGCTACTCCCAAGGTATCCATGTGTTTCGTCAAAAAAATCAGCCAATTCGGCCCAGTCGTTTGACCAGTTTTAGCTACTATATAAATGAATATTTATATATGAGCAAAGAGTGTTATTATAAAGATATATAACTGAAGAAAAAAATTGGTATTATGGTTTGAGTTTATAATGTCTCCTCCTCTATGCCCGATTTACAACGGTACCCTTGAAACTTAAATCTGATCCAAAATGTGGAAACTAACGTCGTTTTCTGAATGAATCGAAAAATGTTTAAGTCAGATATTTTCTTGAGTGCTTCTTATGAACAAGAAATACGTGTAACGTAAGTCACTTTTGCAGAGAAACCGCAAATGAAAATAAACAAAGAAACAAAAACATTCTTATCTAACGATATACTTATAATTGCATTAAATCTTTCAATGGACTGTTTAAATCGGGCATTGCCATCTTTGAATGGAGGGTTACATGAAATTTCGATTGAACAGTCTCTTTAAGGCACTTTAAAATCATAGCTTATTTTCAGTTAATAACATGATTTGTCTGGTGATTTGCTACAAATGTTTTGGATTTTCTAAATTTTTAGTGGATTTTTAAGAATTATAGTACTTTACAATTTTAAACGTTTACGAAAAATACAGTATTTTATTCGCTAATTTAATAAATTTGCTTTTAAGTTCCTTAATTTACAGAAAGTATATTTTTTGT